TAAAAATCTATCGAAAACTCAGCACAATCATAACAGCAACCAACGTTCATTCAAATCATTCAAAATCGAAACACTTTTGCTCATACATTCAAACACACGCACACAAACATTTGCGAGCTCGCTTTCATTTATACCAAAACAACACACACTAACATACAATATTCAGATTTTGGAAATATGAGAAACTTTCCAAAAAACTGAAAGAAAAACGAATTTGCTTAAGGGTGGCCAACACTAATTATAGAATTTCCTGAACTGTAATATTTTAAATATCAAAATAGCAAAGAAGTAAAATTTAAAAAAAAGTAATGCAGATTGCAATAATCTGCTGCGTTTAAACATTTGTTATTTTTGGGTAATTAAGTGAAGATAAATATTTAAAATAATAATAATTAAGTAATTAGCATTTGGTACATACAATGAGTAAAGTATATTGAAGCCATTACAACTTATTACAATATAAATTATACATATGTAGAACCAAAATCAAATTAACAAAATTATTATCATTATGAAAAAGAGAAAACGAAATCACATACAAATTAACTAAACTTAAATTAATTAAAATATAATCAATTAAAGCAATTGAAATTAAATTGAGATCTTCTCCAAATCAATAGTAATTTAATGCAACCTAAACTAAAACATGTAAATAAAACGGAAATACGGACAAGAACAAAGGGAATCAACTAATTAATAATTTTGAATTAGCGCATTAATATAAAAATATAAAAACCTGAAAAGAATTGAAAATAATTTAAGAAAAAGATGCAAAATTAATTAATAATTTTGAATTGGCGCATTAATTTCTAAATATAAAAACGTGAAAAGAATTTAAGAAAAAGTTGTTAAATTAATTAATAATTTTGAATAAACGCAGTAATAATTGAAGTTATTAAAAATTTATTTTTAAGTTAAGATAGGAGGGCTGATTGTTGTTGAATCCCGTGTGGTATAAAATCACTTACTACTTGATGTCTTCATCACCAACTGCGTCTGCATCTCTGCACATCTCCATCCATCTCATCTGGTTGGCACTCACGAACACTCACGATAATTTAGCAAAAAATACGCACAAAGCTCCCGGAATTTGAACACTCTCGTGCCGTGATTCTAATATTAATTTAATTAACTGCACTCACGGTTGAAGAACAAAAGCCGAAGCCTTAAACTTGTTTTCAAAATAACGAACAAATACTGTAAATCAGAATGTAAGACTAAGAATCAGCTAATGGCCAACACTTTTCTTAACGAGACCTGTCGCGATGCAAAAGAATTGAAATTTCGGGGAAAACGCGAGCCCCTAGATCCGCTGTGATCTGTCGGTGATTGCTCGTATATTTCGGATAGGAGCAACGACCTTAACGGATGCACCTCGAGAAGGTTTTAGCACAGACGGTCTTGCCATTCCATGCGAATCACTGCGAGCGTGATAAACGCATAGAATGACCTGGTATTTTTAGTACCTTGCATCCATATAAATAATATGTATAAAAAAATACTGAAGCAAGAAATGAAATTTTGTATCACTCACGATTTATCGGCATCGTCGTCTCTAGTTACAGTTCGGCAGTACGGCTCTTAAATTTCCACTAAAAACTAATGAGAAAGCCCCGAAATTTCAGCAATTATCGCGAGCTTCTAATTGGAACGATGTTGACTTAACAAAGGGACGTGCAAAACTGTGGCGTAGGGACGCCACAATTGTACCACCCGGTGCCAGGTGCGTCATTTTTGTTTTTAGCGATAAAAAGCATTGTTGATATCAGTTGGTATTAGCAACAAACAATAGAAAGTGGTGGGGGGAAAGCGTCGTTCCGCCATTTTGTGCCCGTCCAAATTTCTAATTAATTAACGCGAATTTCTCAATTTCTAATTATAATGGAAAACGCACATTTTAACACAAGCTACGCAATCGATTAACGAACAAATTGGGAGAGTTTCAATGCAATGCGAATATTTTTTTTTTCGTTTCGTATCAGATTCATCACTAACCTTTAATAGCCGCTAAATCTAATGGGATTGTGTGATCTCCGTTGATGGTTTTCGCTAAACGCACCACAATTCATTGGATTTAAACCTAGTTGCACAACAATTTTGAACTTTTAAACCCGGAAAGCACGTCGACTCATAGAAGACCAGACCAAGACTGAGCGTCCCTCTCCGCGCACCGACGCAGCCGCAGTTGGTGATACCAACTCATATTTAAGTTTTAAAATTTTGATAATATCAAAACTCCCTCTTGTGGATCAATTGATAAATACATTTGCGCAAATATGACAAAAAAATAATTTCCAATAAGATGACTATGAATCAATGAGCTAATGCCAATATGTGTTTCGATTAGTTTTTCCCCATAGGAAATGTTAATCGATTGATCAAATTGAAAGAAGTTCATCGAAAAGAATTTCAAATCACATATAAACCAATCGATTAGTTTGCACTGGAAGAAATTCTTCATATTAACTCATCCTTCGAGTTGGAACAATGCATGCATTTCATTGGTGACTTACAACCAATCGATTAGTCTATTATAGAACATTGATAATTCCTTCGAGTCTGATTTGGCATTAATTTACATCACATATTAGCAGACACACTTAATTATATGGATAGTTATAAAACAACTGTCCGAACAAATTGAGTACAGCTGTAAAAAAACAAAGGAAGAAATAAAGTTTTGAATTTCTCACGATTGATTGGCATCGTCGTCCATGGTTACGGTTCGGGACCGCGGCTTTCCAATTCCCACTGAAAACTAATGAGAAAGCCCCGAAATTTCAGTAATTATCGCGCATATCTAATTGGAATCATGTTGACTAAACAAAGGGACGCGCACAACTACATCATAGAGACGCCACGATCGTACCAACAGGTACGTCAATTTTTTTTTTGCAATAAAAATGCATTGGTAACAATTAAACAAAAGAAAGTGGTGGAGGGAAAGCGTCGGTCCGCCAATTTGCAAGAGTCTAAATTTCTAATTAATTAACGCGAATTTCTCAATTACTAATTATAATGGAAAACGCACATTTTAACACAAGCTACGCAATCGATTAACGATCAAATTGGGAGAGTTTCAATGCAATGCGAATATTTTTTTTTTCGTTTCGTATCAGATTCATCACTAACCTTTAATAGCCGCTAAATCTAATGGGATTGTGTGATCTCCGTTGATGGTTTTCGCTCAACGCACCACAATTCATTAGATTTAAACCAGTTGCACAACAATTTTGAACTTTTAAACCCGGAAAGCACGTCGACTCATAGAAGACCAGACCAAGACTGAGCGTCCTTCTCCGCGCATCGACGCAGTCGCAGTTGGTGATACCAACTCATATTTAAGTTATAAAATTTTGTTAATATCAAAACTCCCTCTTGTGGATCAATTGATAAATACATTTGCGCCAATATGACAAAAAAATAATTTCCAATAAGATGACTATGAATCAATGAGCTAATGCCAATATGTGTGTTCGATCAGTATTTCCCATAGGAAATGTTAATCGATTGATCACATTGAAAGAAGTTCATCGAAAAGAATATCAAATCACTTATAAACCAATCGATTAGTTTGCACTGGAAGAAATTCTTCATATTAACTCATCCTTCGAGCAGGAACAATGCAAGCATTCCATTTGTTACTTACAACCAATCGATTAGTCTATTATAGAATATTGATAATTCCTTCGAGTCTGATTTGGCATTAATTAGCAGACACATATTAGCAGACACACTTAATGATATAGATAGTTATAAAATAACTGTCCGAACAAATTGAGTACAGCTGTAAAAAAACAAAGGAAGAAATAAAGTTTTGAATTGCTCACAATTGATTGGCATCGTCGTCCATGGTTACGGTTCGGGACCGCGGCTTTTCAATTCCCACTGGAAACTAATGAGAAAGTCCCGAAATTTCAGTAATTATCGCGCACATCTAATTGGAATCTTATTGACTAAAGAAAGGGACGCCACGATCGTAGCAACAGGCACCCGGCACGTCAATTTTTTTTTTTTTGCAATAAAAATGCATTGGTAACAATTAAACAAAAGAAAGTGGTGGTGGGAAAGCGTCGGTCCGCCATTTTGCAAGAGTCTAAATTTCTAATTAATTAACGCGAATATCTTAATTAATAATTATAATGGAAAACGCACATTTTAACACAAGCTACGCAATCGGTTAGCGAACAAATTGGGAGAGTTTCAATGCAATACGAATTTTTTTTTTGTTTCGTATCAGATTCATCACTAACCTTTAATAGCCGCTAAATCTAATGGGATTGTGTGATCTCCGATGATGCTATTCTCGAGACGCAACGCAATTCACTGGACTTAAACTAGTTGAACAACAATTTTGAACTTTTGAAACAGGAGCGCACGCTAACGCATCGATGACCAAATCGCGACTGAGCCTCCCTCTCCGCGAGCCGGTGCAGAAGTACCAGGTGATACCCCCTCTCGCGGTTCAAGTGACAAACATAATAGCGCCAAATATAATACAAATCACTCAGACACATATTCAATGAAAAATTACGTAATATTGAACTATATTAAAATATCTAAATTGAAATTATACGAAAAACGATATATTTAATGTATAAAAAAGTATGATTAATATTAGTTAGTAATTGAATGTAGGCAACCAACAGTACGCGCATCTTTCAATTTAAATACAAAAATATTACATGACCATCAATTAAAGTTAATTAAGAGCAATCATCGCTTATATTTAGATCAAATTAAACGAATTATTGTTAGTGCTTAATTGCAAATTTTATTTGGACTGTCGAAAATCGAAGTAATTAATCGAAATTCTATTAATTAAACACTCAGTAAGGCTTTATTTGTCAATTATTGTCTTTAGTTCCACTATGAATCAATTTTTTTTTGTCAATTCGCTAATCATAATTACAAGCGAAACAAAAATAACATCGATGATAACAATCATAATAATTAAAGTGCAAGTTGTCATGGCAATACATATTAAATAAATAACAAAGGATAATTTTGTAATAAAGTTGCTGGAACATTAATAATAATGATAATAATAATAATCAAGTGCGCAGGGGTGCATATACATGTGCTCAGGGATAAACAAAACAACAACAACAACAACATCGAAAATAAATGAAGAATCGTTTGAAACAAATACATCACGGTTTATAGGAAACTATAGCAACAATAACAGTAGCAACAAGCGACGACGACAACAACAATAACAACAACAAACATCAACAACATCGATCGGCGTTAACAGTAACATCAACAAGAAGTGGAGGAAAGTGATTCAAACGATTTTCTAGCATCTTTATTACAAAATAATAATTGAAAAATTGAAATAAGTTTAACAAACATAGTGTTATATTCATCATCATGATTTATATATATATATATTTTGTAAGGTATTTTCATCGTCTTCGTCAATAATTATCAATATGTATATCATATCATATATATATATTACTTTTTCTTATGTGTAAATATCGAAGATAAATGGAAACAAATCACAGACTTTTAAAGAAACGTTGTATGTTTTATATATATAGAAGTATTTAAGGTAAGAACTATGTGAAATCGGGTCCGGGGAAGAACTATACAAACTTACATTTCCTTTCTTCCTTCATTTTCTTCGTTTAAATACTTGTTTTTTTTTCTTTCTTCTTGTTTATACACTTTAAATATATATAAAACCAAACAGAAACGTTGAGACGTTTAGACATATTAAATCGTTAAAACACACCTAATCTTAAACGAAACCATCGACATCATCAACAAAACGCGAAGGATCTTTGGTTCTTGGGTAACATCTCTTCATCTTCATCTTCACTCTTAGTTTTCTTTCTTCGATGTAACATTTACAAGCAGGTATAATGATAATAATAACATTAATTAACTCCGAAGCGCACGTCTCATTCCGTATGAACCTGCGCGTTTTTTTCCTTGTTTTCATTAGAAAAATCTTCTTCGTCTCTCATTCTCTCTACAATAACAATTCTAAACAACATCTAGATATCCTCCGAAACAAAAAAAAACAAAAACCGGCGTTCGCTTTGCACAATAAACATTCAATAATCCACGCTCTCTCTCTCTCTTATCATGCAGTTCTTCTCTTAGTTTCTTTGTTTAGTTGAAATCATATTTTTTTTTAGTTTAAATAAAATAAGTCCACGGAAGTATGCATTCATCTTCTTAGTAGAGACTCTTGCATTCCGGTGGATTCAGCTGTCCGAAGACGTTCAGCTCGTACATACTCGCGAACGTGATGAATATCAGATACCAGATCATCAGGACGACGCCCAACTTTTTGTCCAACTTCCAGCCGTTCAGGTGCGTCGCGACGACCAGAAAGACGACGGTCGAGAGAAGGGATAACGTCGAATAGGTGAGACCTGCAAAAAACAACAACAACAGTTGAAACTGCATTTGGTAACCTAGGAAATAGAGATACCTTTGCTTATGACGTTCACATGGGAACCGGGTTTGATTATCGCCGTTTGGATGAACCAAGGAAGACCCAGACAGACCAGAATATCGAACACGTTCGATCCGACCGCATTCGATACGGCCATATCTCCGTACCTGAATATACAATTTATAATTTCCACAATTAATAATTTCGCAAAATATGTGAACATGTTATTAAGTGAATATCAACATCATCGCCATCACTCTACTATTTACTATCTACTTCTTCCACACGCATTGCATATTTACTCATACAGAACTCTGAATAATTCACGAGCATCGATTTTGAAGCGCGTTTGTAATGCGTTTTTAATATATCGAAGGGAAAATAAGATCCTGAATGTAATTGCATTATTTTCTTTCACTTTTCAGTAAAATTTGATCGAGTAGTAGTAGTAAAAATGAATTAGTTTATATAAGTAGTGTTAAATTGAACATGTTCTTACCCTTCTTTGATGACCGCAATACTGGATAGAGCGTCCGGAACGGAAACGCCGGCAGCCACGAAAGTCAGTCCCATCACGGTGTCGGGAATTCCCAGAGTTGTTCCTGCGATTCAAAACGAAATGATGTAGTTCATTATTAACATATTCGGTCGTTTTTTTGTGCGTTGCGACGTACCGATGATGGTGATCATCCAAACCATGAAATAAGAGTAGAAAGAGATCCAAACCATCGAGACGCAGAAGGTGAACGGATACCAGTTCTTGTACTTTTCCGTTTTGCAATCGGGGATGGTTTTCCTGCACATGTAGTGGATGGGAAAGACGACGGCCCAGCTGATCTTCTGGAAGAGCGTACCATCTGCGCAGAGGAAGATATTATCAGATGAAGAATGGTAAATATTATTAGTATTTACCGATGGGTTGTACGAGTGGATCGACGGCGTTCGGATCGGCCTCCTTGGGTCTGTAGTAACCGCTCGCCCCTGCCGGTCCCTGATGTTGACCTCCCTGCTGATGCTGGTGTTGCGCGGGATCCGCCTGCACCTGATTCAAACTTGGTCCGCTCAAAGTATCACCACCTGCTCCTCCGTATCCTTGCTCAACCTCGGCGACGCCGTTCTTGTCCGGGCTTCCGTAGCTCGACCTCTTCGTCCGATCTTCGTCCAGAGTTTTGTAACTCACCAAACCGGATTCCTCTTCGGGAGCTGCAGGTTTGAAGGGTATCGGAAGGGTTTGAGCCCACCTCTCGAGAGGCGCGTTGAAATGCAACGCAATGCAGTACACCACGTACATGATCAACATGAACAAAGATTCGCCCCTGCAAAAGGTGAAATGAAAGTTAATCAATTGAAAATTGAAATTATCATCATCATCACTGACCATGTGATCGTATCGTTGTAAATGGTGAAGAGCATTATGAGGATGGAGAGGGCGTAGAAGAAGCAATCCCTCACCAAAGGCCACCAGTTCAGGTAGCAGACGGTGCTCGTGCAGAGGGCGCACACCGAAATGACGAACATTATGTTGAAAACGGCGGAGCCGATCACGCCGGAAACGCCTGCAAGCAAAATCGATTACAAACTCATTCATTCATTCTAATTTCGACGCAGAGTGAAAAGATCTTTAATTTACCGATATCGTCGTTGGCGAAGAAGACGCCGATGATGACGGTCGCCAGTTCCGGCGCCGAACTTCCTGCCGCCATGAACGTCGCACCGGCCACATCCGGTGACAGCTTGAGCTCTGCAAAATCGAAACCATCAATCAATCAATGAAGCGATAAAACACGCAATCAATCAATCAATCAATCGAAAGTTACCTTCGCAGATTCTATCCAAAGACGCAACAAAGTATTCATCGCAGACGATCGCTAAACCAATGAAGGTGTACGCCGCGACCAGGATGTGAACAATTATGCCTCCGTGCTTTCTGCCCCACGGACCCATGATCGGTTTCGGAAACTGCAAAAAGTATAACATATCAATCTTTGATATCGGCGCATCCACCGATTTCGATTTACCTGTTCGATTGCAGGTGGTGTGCAGTTGGGTCGTTTGGGTCTCCAGGTGGGATGGCCGTGCGGTCCCATACCGGTGGGGCCGACAGTGATGACATTATTTCCTGTGGTAGATGGCGTCGGCGGTGGCGTCTTGACGCTCGACGCATTATCGCTGGACGCCTCGTTCTTGACCACCAGAGTCTCGACCGACTTTCCTGCTCCTGCTGCCGCCGCTGCTTCTGCAACCGCTTCACCACCACCACCACCACCACCACCCACGTTATCGGAAAACACGTGGATTATGGAGTATATCATGAAGAACACCGAAATCTGCAGGAATTTGTGTCGCCTTGTGCGTCTCATTTCCTAAAAAACAACAAAAAGATTTATAATTTTTTTTTTCTTCTTCAAATATTTGTTTTTGTTTTATTTTTATTATATTTATTGACCAATTTATTGACTTTGTTGCCAAGGCGACGTTATGTCATGATGACAGATTTGGGTCGAGGAAATGCGCCCGTCTACACGGAGGTCTGGAAACCGTCCAAATGTCTACATCTTACATCTATGTTCTCTCGTTTCGTTTGCTGTTTTGTATTACGTTCGATTCGATAATCCGATTCGTCTGCAAATCAGCATTCACAACCAGTTATTGTTGCTATGATACGTGCGTGCGTGCGTATGGGACGTCGTTAATCACGTTTCCATGATGACGATGAAAGCGTATTGTGTGATAATAATGTGCGCAGCTGGAATTTGGGACGCCCGCTTTGATCCGTTCCGCACAAATTCTAGCAATGCAAACGTTTATTCGGGCGCGATTGATTGATCTCCGCAACAATTACGACCGACGTTTGAGTTGTCAAACTATCTACAACCGAATTACTATAATCCTTCGATTACGTTAATAAATCGTGATCGTAGATCACTTTGAAACCCGGCGCATCCACCTATTTCAAAATAATAATAATGTCATTAGTTTTCGTTGCTAAGAAACCAAACGAAACCAAGCAAATTAATCATTTTCAAATTATATTAATAAAATACTAAGACGAAGGTTAATACAAAAATGGGGGAAACCTTAAATAAACCGATCATCGCTCGTTTCCCTACCAACGCGAGCATTCAAGGTTAGGGTTATGTATTGCGTTTCTATGGTAATTCTCTTGTACGTGTGTAATGCGAGAGAGAGAGAGAGAGATGAGTGGCTACAGATTGCTGCGGATTTCCATGGAAATGGAGCAATTGTTTTGTGAAATGGATGGAGGAAAGCCGATGTCGGACCTTTCACTTCTGCAAATGTTCAATTTTCTAAATCTCTTAACATAATGGGACAAGAAGAAGAAGATGCCGCCGTCGCTGACACATTATTATTATTCCACGCGTAGGACGCGAATCCATTAAAGTATTAGAATACGATGCGTCGCGACGCGAGAGTAAGAGAGAAGGGTTTAAACGACGACGAAGAGGTATTGATTAGAGCGCCATCTCTTCCTGCTTCCTGATTCTCTCTCTTTCTTTCTCTTTGGCAGACAGGACTCAGCGTCTCCTTCGCAGAGTATTATTATTATTACATCCTGTAACTGCTGAAGAAGTAGAAAAGAATAAAAAGAGAAGAGAAAGAGAATAAATTGGGTTTCGTGATGGGAAAGCGTAATTGGAAAACAACAGGACGTAAACTTTGCGACGTCTCAATTTGCATTCGCCACCGCCGCCGCCGGAAAACAATTGCAATTATCCCAGGCCGCCCCTATTTTTGGCCTCCATCCTACCACTCACTTCGATACGTACGTCAAATTAGCCCCACCCCCCATCCCCCAGCACTTTGTTTCAATTAAACATCTGAAGCGCGCTTCGCACACTTTATTACTTTATTCCATACACCAAACAGTTCAATCCAATTATTCCCGAGAAACCGGAACAAATACATCCCCATTACGTTTCGTTTCGTAATCACAACCGTTTATGCTTACTTACTAACTTTACCCATAGAAAAAAAAACTTAATTTATGCTATTTGCATTGTTTTGTTTCTTTTAAATATAGAAACGAAAGTCACATCTCTTCTCGACGACTGCCATGGCAACGTAAACTCGCGACAGATTCAATGTTACCGAAACAATTGAGGTCGGCTTAGTTACCGATTTACGTAATCTTCTTTCCCTTCTTCGTTTTTTTTCTTTCTTTTTATTTTCCTCCCTACCCACCCCCGGCTGCGGAATTTAGTGAAGCTTTCGGCGTAGCAAAGTCTTCGTAACGCGGACCGTGCTGAAATTATATCGATTCGCGCACCATTCCGCGAGCGTTTCGCACCTTCCTTTTTGGTCACACAGCAAAAAAAAATCGCGTAGCCCATCAACAAAACAAAAAAGAAAAAACTAAACAGAGGAACGTATCAATCATAACAATGCATAACAACCAAACAAAAAAAAAAACAAAACTGAATAAAACTGAATTCCTGAGCACGCTCTGCATGCTTTATTCGAGTGCTTTTTCCCCCGATTTCGAACAACAACAATCAGAAGTACAGCAGCAGCAGCGGCAGTTTGAATGGTCCTCGAAAGGTCGAGAGATCGGAACCTTTTGTTCGATTCAACTGATTCCCATTTCGCGCCTGTCTTCGATTCCTCGCGTTATTTTATTATCCTCATCCTCTTCCTCATTCAAACGAACCACCGATAAAATCTCATAATTGAAACCCTCGAGAAGATGCCCGCACTTGACATGCCCGCACTTGATCTCTCCTAAGATCACCATAGCAACAACAACGGTAACAGATACTGTTTCGGTGTTGCCACTCGCGACGTTAGTCGACGCACGTTTCGACAATGCAACTGTTGCACCTGAACCGCTTTGATTCTGATGAAAGAGAGCGCACTCGATTCCTCATCGGAAAAGCAAACGTTCAATCGGAGAATTAAGAGCGACGAACAATGGACGAGAGAAACGTCGAGTGATCTCTCCTTTCTTTTGCAAAATCTGCTGTAGAGGTAAACATTGTCAATGGCTTTGGAAAGAGAAGATTCAAGCAGAAAAACATATTTAAATGGAGAGGTTATCGAAAAGGATTTGCGAAATACGAAACGAAATCTATAAATAGACTGGAGATAATAATGCATCATCGGCTGTATTCGATGTGCTTATCACAGATATACACACACAAAATCATATATAATAATAATAATAATAATATTAAAGTATGAAGAGAAGCTGAAGATACGCCAACGTCGCGAAATGATAACAATGGGTTGGAAAGCGTCTCGAGCGAAGCCCTCGAGATTAGGTCGAAAACTTGCAGCAGATACCAATCAACTGACTTCGAAGTTGGTTCGATTCCAAGAGAGAATACGTTTAAGAAGAGACAAATAATATCTAAATAGAATTTTAAAGTGATTGAAACGATAATCAAGTCTACGCGTCGAATAAAACTTAATGACGTAATGGGTGCTTTTCATAATGACCAACTATGGGGGGGGCGGTGGGCGGTCGAAAGGAAGAGAAACAACTGAAGGTAGAAAACAAGTGAAAAAAAAACAATGACAGCAGTAATGAAAGCATAACGATATTTATGGACACGGACTTAGTTATGTAACGCAAAAGTTACTACTATATCGATCGGTGGGTCGCGATGAGAAGGAAGGTGGAGAAGGAAGGCCCGAGACCGAATCGTGAGGGGTACATACACACACACACACTCACACGCAAACAGAACGCAAGTTTCTTCAGTTGCGTTTTGCAATTCGAAATCGATAAATGCGAAAATCCGGACGGCGGCGTAATTATACATGAAAACAATATGCGAAACAGATGAAACAAACAAACGAACGAACGAATCGGAAACAGAAACGCATCGGTAACAAGCGAATCGCGTCGAGTAAACACAGTATCGGTTACAGCACTCAATCGATTCGCTAAATATCAACGAACAGCTGTGATATAGTACGCATATATATGGAAACTTGAGAACTTTTAAATATATCTCTCTCTCGCTTTTATATCTTTTATCTTTTCGTTATTGAAAATTAATTTATAATTTGTTGATATTACAAGTTATTCTTTGGCAACTTCATCATCGATCGGGGGAGAAGCAAAAGAACGAAACAACGCAACTTCATAAAGAAGAAGGTACAGACAATTATGTTACCTGTTCTTAGAGTGGTGCGGAGCAGCCGTGGAACGATCGAGACAGGCACTTGTTTCGCGGATCACTGGATGATTATTAACAAAAGACCACTTTGCAAGAATGTTGGTGTAATGATGATGATGGTTAAGGTTTTTTTATAATTTTAAATCTCTGTTTGAAATGCGGTGGTCTCGTCGGTCTGGATGGTCGGATGGATGGATGGAGAGTGGCCTGCAAAAAAGGGGGAGCCGAAGACGCAGACTCCGCACGCTCTCCGCTACAGTCCGCACATACACACACACGCACACGTCTCTGTCGCCGTGTTTGCGCGGGCGGCGCCGAAAGAGATACATACAATGATCGGGCGTCGCGACGCCTCGCTCGCCGCCCTTTCGAAACCATCCCCCCGACGTATCCACACATTTAATTCACTCCTCCGAATGAGGAGGGCGTCAATCGTAAATCTCAATTACGGTAATCAAAGATGGCCATTTATCAAAACAAAACAAGAAAACAATACCCCTAATTACCATTAGCAACAAACAATGAAACGTCAAAACTGACGTTCGAATTAAAGGATTTTTTTCAATTAGTATTAAATTCCCACTTAGGGCAAAAAATAAACAACGAATTAATTGTTTTTCGGAAACAAAACTCATCGTTGCGGGCTCGCGTTCAAATCACGATCAAACGATCGATCGACGTGATGATTCTCCGGCCGGCCGGGAAACGCACAATTTCAATTCCATTTCGTAATTAAAACGAAACAATTATTTGTTTGTCTCAACTTAGTAGTAATAATGATAGGCGCGCTACGCATTATTCGGTAGGTAAACTTACCGGCATCTAACATTTCTTCTCGCTTCTTCAGTTTTCCTCGATCAGATTACTAAAACCAACAACACCGACACTGACAATGACACCGAAATTGTCACACTCTCGATTATTAATTTGACATTTCCCAATTGTGACAATTACATGGAAATGATTAAAGTATAAATGAGCTTTGCAGCATCAAATACAGTTCATTTCAATTTGGATCTCTCTCTCTCTTTCCATTGATCTATGGAGACTTTTTAATTAGTTTTTGAATATATTTCAAATTTAAATGCACGGATTGGCCAATCGGATCGGTCCATTCCAATGTCACTGACTTCACGCGCAACACAATGGAAGTTGTTAGTTCGTGGCGATCCCGTCAAAAAGGTAAACATGTTTTGACAGGTACCATTGTTGTTGTTGTAGTAGTCTAGTAGTGTGCTTTGATTGGATATTTTGTTCAGTTCTACTGGCTGGCGAAGATGAAGGAGGAATACGTGAACAGGATCAGGGAGAATTACCTGGAGCTGGTGCAACTGAACGTGACCGATTCGTTTCTCAACGAGTTCCAGGGGATCCTCAGCTCGGACAAGATTGAACAGGTGAAGGTGAGTCATTCATTTTTGATATGGTAACAGTAATAATAATATTAATTGATTGATTGATTAGAACGTGCCAGAGAGGACAAACAAGGCAAGACACTTTTGGATAGAGCTGCTCAAATCCCCGAACAATGCCTATCCCATTCTCATCACTGCCCTCAACAAGGCAGGACAGACCAACTTCATGTCGTTGCTTGACCCAAAGAATTCAATCTTGGAAGATACTGGTATGTATATATGTATATGATGTGGGAATCCAATAAGTAATGTTGCGTTTTAGTTCCGCAGGTGCACAACTCGCCGAATTACATTATCTCGCATAGGGCGAAACCGTTGGAGGTTGTCGTTAAAATGTCGAAGGACTTTAAGCACGTCGTCCAGCAGAACGAGCACATCTCAGTCTATAATACAAAATCGCGGAACAGGGGTCTCGTGAAGATCATCAACATCTTGAATTTCAATCATAACATGTGTCGAACCGGTTCGCAGTTCGACGTCAGCTCACTGAACAGTCTCTTCAAGCAGATGGGTCTGGTGGTGGAGACGAACGATAGGGATCTCACAGCTCAAGTGAGTGAGAATCAATCAATCTTAATTTCATCTACTACTGTGTTTCTTCGCAGGAAATCAACGAGGAAGTTGAAAAATTCGTGACGAATCCGTATCTGCAGTTATCTGATATTGCGATAATGGTGATAATGACTCACGGGAGCAGGGATCACAGCAAGGGCAAGGAATATTTGGAGGGACACGACGGAGCTTTAATTTATAAGGAGGACGTCGAAAAGGCCTTCTCCAACGATCGATGTCCCTTCATGCAGAACAAACCGAAAATTCTTATCTTCCAGACGTGCAGGTTAGCAATTACTAATACAATTGTTGTTTCTACATTATCACTTTCTTTTTTATTTGCAAAGAGGTAAAAACTTGGATTACGGAGTGTCCAGGGTGCAATCGGACACGGCTCTAAGTCCGAGCGCGCCTCTCCCGAAAATCTCCACCCTGAGCGATCTCCTGGTCATCAATTCAACACTATTGAGTAAGTGCATATTTGCATCTTGAAGAATGAACGTTTAACCTTTCTTTAGATTACGAATCGCACAGGGATATCTACGTGGGCACTTGGTACATTCAGCTGATGTGCGAGGTGTTCATGGAGCACAGCCACAACACGCACGTCGAGGACATGTGCAAGATAACGCAGAAGCGACTCCAGGAGCAACGATCCGGGAACCACAGCATGCAGACATCGGAGATTCGCAACATCGCTTTCAACCTCTGCTACCTCAATCCCGGTATATACCTGAACGATGACGGTATCATCAAACACTTTAATAACAAGGAACGCGCTCACTTCTCCACAGATTAGGAACTAACAATCAACAACTATTACTATTATCAATTACTTTTTATACTTTTGCATATTCTCATATTATTATTATTATTATTAACAAATATATATATTTATACTTTTAATCAGACTAAACTTTATAATTACAACCCAACCTTTCTCTATTTGAATTCAAATTGGCCAACACAACTTAAGTACTTTGTGGTCGATGATGGAGGAAGCCAGCCACCAGTCTAACATTAATGTGCTTGTTATCATTCGCAATGTATTGTTGTTTGGGCTGCCGATGTTTACGTAACATAATAATCTGGTTGTAATCATAACCTGGAAAATGCGTGTGGCTGTCAAAGTTCGAGTTCAAAAGATCGGAGGACGATGGTGGCCTTCGGCCTTGCAAAATTTAAAGTTTAATATCTTTTAGCGCGCATCACATCCCAATTAAGCTCAATGATGATGATGATCATGTGAAATAGACAGAAGAGAATGTTGCTTCCACATAGGTGAGCATACCCGAGAGAGAGACTGTGTGGTGACACTATAGTGTTTCTTCTCTAATACTTGTTGAATGTATTTCAGATTTCATCGGCTCACACTCACATATGACTTTAGCAAACAAATCAGGTTCCTGTTCAGTGCCGTCAACAAGAAGAAAGAGTATCATGGTCGCAAACTTGTTGGGTACGGATGAAATGGAAATGTAGTGGACAGCACAGGATAATTGCAATTTGTTTTGCAGGTACTCCATGGATCAGATGTACAGCGTGGTGGCCGACGTGAAGAACTACAAACACTTTGTGCCGTTCTGCAAAAAGTCGCACATACTCGTCACGAAAGACGCCTACATGAAGGCGGAGCTCGAGATCGGATTCCCACCGATCGTCGAGAGTTACACGTCCCACGTGACGCTGATGGAACCGTACCTGGTGAACGCGCGATGCGTTGACGGCACCCTCTTCGAGTTCCTCGAAACGAACTGGAAGTTCAGTCCCGGTTTGAAGAGCAACGCTCAATCGTGCATCATCGATTTCTCCATACGCTTCGAGTTCAAGTCGCTGTTCCATTCGCACGTTGCCCTCATGTTCTTCGAGAAGCTCGTCAATCAGATGGAGTGGGCGTTCATCACGGAGGCGAAACGTCGATACGGCACCGAATCCCTGCCCAGCCATCAGCTGACCACGCCCAAGTCCCGCCCCAGCTAACAGTTCGATCTACACACACACACACACCTACTTTCAATAAAAGACAACGTGTGCGTCCGGTACGAACCAATTTCAGAACGTAAAACATATTTATTATTATTATTATAAAGTGGATGAAACCAGTAAGAGTGAAAAATAAAATGGAAAATAGAAAAATAAATTAAATTGGAGGAGAATTCGGATTAGGTTCGGATTTATTTATGAGATCTTGGCGAGCCAACTCTGAAGCTCGTCGATGCTGCAGCGGTCGGCGTCGCCGCTGTTAGTGGCGTGCGACTCGGCGAAATCCACCTTGAATTTACCCATCGAGTCGAAGGTGAACGGCTCGTCGAGATCTCCACCGCCCAAAAGAATAGAATTCGCGTGATTCGGATCGACGGACTGCAGCTGCTTCGATTTCGTAACCCTCAGAGTGTTCATCTCCTTCTCGAGCATCGCCTTGACGGCGCTCGCGCTCTTCACCAACGGCTGATCTTGCTTGTTGCACAGCACTAGAACTGCGGGCCTGTTGGCGACGACCACCGGATCGACGAGAATGTTGTAGAGAAACTCTGCGGCGTCTCTCACGTCCTTTTGAATCGTCTGCGAGTCGATCACGTAAACGATTCCCCTGGACTGAGACTTGTAATCCTCGAAGAATTTGCCTCGGATGCGCTCGTGCCCGGGTATATCGATGACCCTCACGTAACTCTAAATTAAACAACAACAACAGCAACATTCAATTAGTTGTTATTAATTAAAGCTACAATAATAATAATACAATTCTTACCCCGTTCACCACGTAATCACCAATATTCTCCTTGATCGAAGTCTGCGTGTTTACGAACTTTCTGTGGATGAGTCTCGCGTACAGCAGAGTTTTGCCGGTGTCGCACAGTCCGGTCAACAATATACCGCGTCTCGCATTCTTCGCTCTCCTGTAGATGGCTATGAAAACTGCAGGGGAAAAAAAACAACAACAGGTGTAAACGCATATGTTTTTTTCTTTAATTATTTAGAGCAGATAACCTAGAAACTTTTGCAAAGTATCATCTCTGCAGAGAAACGACGAGGATCATTCGAACTTACCCAAGGAGAGGAGAACGACGAGGATGGCTATGATCACCTGCGAAAACATTGCTTCGATGCGACGAAACAGAGCACCAAATTGGAATGACGTGGAGCTGGAGGTGTACACTGGACTGACGGATTTCAACTGAAGAAATCGATGGGAAAGGTCAGTTCATTCAACGTGTGTTCGTTTCTTTTTTCAATCCGCGCGCACAAATTCAATTTGCAAATGCGAAAAAAAAAGGGCAAAAAATCGCACGCAGAGTCTGCAATTAGTGCGCAATCAGTGGAAACGACGCAAATTAAAACCGAATTTTAAAATCGATAATAACAAGTTAAATGGGTTGTATAATTCTCATCTCATCAGCTGATCAAAATAGAGGTGGCGCCACAACAAACAATCCTTATGTAATTTCTCTTTTCCCTTGCATGCAAACGTGTCAATTCGGATTTGTCCTTTTTTGCCTCTTTTGCTGTTATGGTGCAATTATGTAATTGGTGGTATCGTATCATAACAGTTTCATGTTCGTTCGTAATAGACGCAGTTTACCTTTGACCGGCCAGCTGTTCTTCAAGTCCACTTACGATCCCCCACTAATTGCGTAAGCAATCAACATTATCATTATCCCAGAGAACAAAGGACGATGGCACTGCGAGACGCATTAAGGCGACAGTTCTGCTCCGGCTTGCAAGGTTAATATCAGCAATACTATAAGCACGTATGAACGATGAGCGATCTATCAGGTATTATTCGAAGGTGCGTTTACGATGTTAATAATGTAATTTGTGTGTGTTTCCTCTCGTTCGTTTAACGTAGCTATGCGAACGCCGTACCACGGCAAGGGCAAGGTTCTGCTCGAGGAGCATCTACCATCCGGGGACGCGATGCAAGTTTTCAAACATTGGTTCGAAGAGGTCAAAGGCAATCCGTCAGTGATCGAACCGAACGCGATGTGCCTGGCAACTGTTAACAAGTATGAGAGCGAGAGCAAATTCTGTTCTGCGCAAGCAAACATTCAACATTCTCTTCCGTGATTTTGCAGGGAAGGCTTCCCGTCGTGCAGGATGGTCCTGTGCAAAGGCTACAGTCCGGACGGTTTCAAGTTCTTCACGCACTACACGAGCAGGAAGGGACAGGATCTGGAGGCGAACGATAACGCTGCGGCGACTTTCTATTGGGCGGCGATCTCGAGGTCCGTGAGGATCGAGGGGAAGGTCGAGAAGTTGCCTATGCGGGAAGCGGAAGAGTACTTCAGGCAGAGACCGCACAGCAGCCAAATCGGTGCGTTGCTCAGCGACCAGAGCAAACCGGTGGCCGGACGGGAAGCGCTCGTGCGGATCGAGAAGGAACTGTCGGGCAAGTACGGAACGGTCGTGCCGAAACCGGAAAAGTGGGGCGGATACGTGCTGAAACCGACGACGATCGAGTTCTGGCAGGGTCAGACGGATAGGATTCACGATCGCATCCAATTCATCAAATCGTCGTCGCAGCAGCAGCAACCGGATAACAAGATACTGTTTCAAGGAGAGAACGGATGGATGTATCAGCGATTGGCGCCCTAAACCATCCATCTCGTCCGTCCCCGTACATATTAGTTATTTTTAGTCAATTAGTTCAAAGAGATCTTTAATATTTCTCGCTGGACACCGTTCGGGCACTTCCAACACGTCTCGTACTTGAAACAACCGGCCTTATCCATGGCCTTCTCGAACTGCCTGGTGCCACCGCCTACGCCGAAATAGTACGTCTTCGCCGCCAAATATCTACAACAAATAAATAAACATAAATTAGAGAAAAACAAACGAAGCGAAATTAATTCACACTTACAGCACGCCCGTCTTCCTCTTCAGCATCCGCTCAAACACCGAGAGCAGTTTATCGTAATTCTGGCAATTGTAAATAGTTTCCGAGCTGAATATGTAATCGAATTTCTCCTCCTCCGCATCCACTTTAAGCAGATTCGCGAACGATCCCCAATCGCCGCAATAAAAATCGCACCTCTCCTGCGCTTCCTCTTTGCTTCCAGCATTCAACAGCACATTCGGTATCGTTATATACTTGATCACTTCAGGGTTCTAAAAGGAAAAACTGTTAATCAATCATAACTTCGCAATACTTCCATTCACTTACGTAATCCTGCAAGCACACGTTGCTGGCCCCATTCAATAACGAATATATACCGATGATGCCGGCGCCGCAGCCCAAATCCAAAACTTTCCTATCTTTGAACTCCAATTTCTCACCGTCGTAGATATAATCGAGCACGTCGTAAGTGCACTCCCAAATCTTCAATCCACCTTTTCAACATATTCACTTAAATAATAATAATTTCCATATATTAACAATTAAATTCAATCACCTTCGTATACAGCTGTAATCAAATCGGAATTATTCTGCTCTGCTTTGAAGATGGAATCCTCCTCATTCTGCTTCTTCCGCACAAGCTCTGAAACGATCACTGTGGATACGTAGCGAATGGTGCAACAGTCTTCCAATTCTAAACTGTTGATCGATGTGCAGTTCTCCTTCAGCAACTCGGGATCCACTACGTTATTCCCAATGCTGATCTTCTCACTTGGCAGCCACTTTTGTCCCTTGCATGCATCTAAGGGTATAAAAACAATTGTTTAAAGAAAATCCAAGCGGTCGTTGAAATGGTGACAAACGAAAGGCGAAATTTGAAACATGTTATGGAGGTTAACAACTAGCATGTATTTAATTTTTTTTGGAATACTCTCGCTCACCATCTTCAGCTGATTCCTTGCATTCTTCGGCGACTTTGCATTCACTTGCATCGGCGGAAAACCCAAATTTAAACATGATTTCACGTTAATAACAGTTATGAAAACAAACTTTCAAAATAGACAAAAAAACAAACTCTCTTCTTCAATACGACTGAATACGACAACTTACCGATTGGTGGCGCCTCTATACTTTCATTCATCCCCTTATCTTTCCTCAACGAAATAAAAAAAGGTTTTAGTTTAAACAACGATTGTAAAATAATCTGGATGTAACTGATTTAACGGAAAATAATAACATTTAGGCGTATCTATGGCAGCACGATCTTCATTTAAAATGTGCAAATATGGTTGCATATTTTACATTATTTTTCAAATACGATAGTTTAATCATTGATTCCGAACGTACCGAAGCAGCTACATACATGTATTGATGCTCATTTCAATATTTATATTCTCAAAATCATTATCCATTTCTCAGTTTCTTTTGGCAGAAAAACGTATTCATATTTTCAAACAGATCATCGCATCATCTGTACGCGATACACCAAAGCTTTTAGTTCAAAGCTTGTTCAAAAGTTACATCTTTTAAAACTGAATTATTTACATAAAGAATATTGCTTATTACAATCTAATATTCATACACATCACATTTAGTTAAGTTCCTCAATACATTTCCAATTGGTTAATACGATTATTGCTTTAGAATTGTTAACGTTCGTCTGGTAGCCTGCAGATAATTAGGTTAGCTTCACATTTTTGTTGATGCTCGCGGCGGACGCGGTTTCCCTCCAATTTGAAAGAAATAACAATAACATCGCGCAACGCGATTTCGATTCGTACAAATCGTCTGCTTTTACTTTCCGTACGCCTTTATTCAATTTTCGCACACTTTGTTTTTGTCGTTGTTATTTGTTTCTTGCTGTTTTCTTTTGTTTGTCTGCTTTTTTTTTTGTTTGTTTGTTTGTGGTTTGGTTGGGTGTGTGTTTGTTTGTTTGTTTTGTTTTCGCGCGTTTGGAGGAAGGGTGGAAGGAGCAGAGCAGAAGAAGTGTCGTCGACGATGAGTCTGCAGTCGATGTCAATGAACACTTCGCTGAAGAACGCGATGATTTTCGTGAGTGTGCCGAAATACTAACCTTCAAATAATTAGACCGTTTCTTTGGTTCACGCAGGCCGCGGTCGAGGAAGACAGCACCGAACTGGATGACGCCTCTTTGAAAGCAACGTCCGTCGCATCGTCTGCATCATCGACAACAACATTCAACAATTCCAATCGGAACGAGAGTCGCGGAAAGATAGTGCAGAGGGCCTCGAACAGGTCGAGCAGAACCACCTCGGTGCCGTACCAGAGAACTCAGAAGTGCTGCAGCAGCAACAACAACAACAATAAGAGAAGGAACAACACGGGACAGGAAGAGGAGATGCGTGGACGAAGCGTTTCCAGCAGGTCAACAACGACGACGACGGATAATGGCGATGCAGTGGTCAGCAGTACCAGCAGCAATCAGTGGAGAACGGATCCGGTGGAGCCCGTTGAGACGGGGGGATCGCAGCAGGAGTCCGAGTGTTGCAGCAGCAGCGAGGGTTCCAGTTCGAGGAAGAGCAGCTGCAGCAGATACTCGGGTCCAGCTGATAACAGACCGAAACGTGAGAAGGACCCGGAGATATTGAGCAGACGCCAGAAGCAAATTGATTACGGCAAGAATACCATCGGTTACGACAATTACATACGCACAGTTCCAAGGTAAATTGTTAAACACAATTACAACCACCAGCAGCTATATGTTATTGTGTTTCTTTTTGTAGGCACGAAAGGAAATTCGATGATCCCAGAACACCAGACAAGACCAGAGTGTATTCGAGGAGAGCATTCGATGGACTGATCAAGGAGTGGAGGCTGAAATTGCACAAATACGATAACGCTTAACTCATTAGTTAACTATTTCATATATATATTATAGTGTTTTTTTTTTCTTCTTTTTTTTTTTAATTATTATTATAAATGAATTTCAATTAAATTCTTAAAAGTGTTTCATGTTCTGTTGGTCTGTTCGTAATGCTGCTGCTGTTGAAACAAAGTGTGCTTGTTGAAAATCACACGCAGCATCTTATTGGGCAACCTGAACTGCCGCCTGCATTGGAACAGTGTGCAGATCAGCTGCCACATAATGAATGCCGCTAGAAGCAGGCTGTATATTGCAGTCACAAATGAAAGACTCATCCTGAAATTATTAATTTAAATATATGCATCATTATAATATATATACTCACTCTATCTGCTGGTAAACATCGCTGCAGTCGTCCGGTAGCAGCACGAAAACAAACTTGAAGGGATGGCAGACTGAAGTCAATGTTAACATTGAACTGTAGATGAGAGCGACGAACGTGCAGATCAGGCAACCGATGTAATGGATTTTGTTGCAGTTTGGAATTATGCAGCTATCAATCCTGTTGTTGTTGTTGATTATTATTAATAAATCAGTTAATTATAAGTAAAATGATACATTACCAATAATGATGTTGAGTTCCATCGGGCCGATATATTTGGCAGACGTTGCAGAAGCCGCTCCTCTCCGCGGACGATCCACGAGTGGAGAATATCGGTTCCTTCATTCTGATCACGATCAGTTTCGTTCTGTACGCCAGGTATATGGCAGCAAACATCACGACGGACAATCCAATGTTCTCCTCCAGCAGTATCATGAGGAACGAAACGACGATTACTTCATACACCACATAGAGGATGACTAGAGAGGAGATGGACCACATCAGGAAAATCCGCGGCATCGATTCCAACCAATACTTGTACAAGCCGAGCAGACAGAGCACCAGCAATGAGAACGACAGCAGAGTCAGTTCGAGATTGAGTGTGGCCATCAGCAGGAACGAAGGCAGAAGAACTATGGGCAGAGCGACGCTTGGATTGAGGAGGCGCGCGCCCCCGAGCCAGGGCACCCTCATCCTGTCCCTTGCAGTTATAATCAACTGCTTCTTGTTCGTCTCAGCGATTCCAGTACCAGAGACTAATCTGCCAAATTTATTAAAACACTGATAATCAATTAGTTGCGAATATTGCGCGCTACGCACTCACCCTTCAAAACCTTCATCCAAATCCTGACAGTTGCAGCAGCAGGCCAACAGGTGATTTCTCTGTCCATCCGAGTCGATATATTCGCAGCAGCAAAGATCACTCATGCTCCTGTGGTCGTCCTTTTAGGGAATAGAAACATCGCACGTCTTCACCAAATATTGATATCGTTTGACAGGGTTCTGTACTGCAATTACAAAAAAAGAAACTGGGATTAATCGATCGTGATCATCCGCTGCTGCTGCTGCTGAACACACATTCATAAAACACATATGTAAACAAACCTGAAGGCAGTTGCAATATCTCGACATCTCTCACTTGCTTCAATTGCAATGCAACATAGTCGTTTCATGGGATAAATAACAATGTTTTAACAACAATTACCGCACTAAATGATCACCTAACGAGTGTCCTTATAAAAAATATACAAAAATTAAATTATTTTGAAATTGTCACCAATGGTAAAACTTGAAATTATCGTATAGGCGACCAGAATTGCAAATTTTCAATTTAAACATAAACTTATTGAACTTGTGGAAAATGAATTGGAAAAATATTCGATGCAGATCTCAGTCGCTCAGGTCCGGAATTTTGATGGTTCTGAGGAACAAGTCGGATGTCGAACATGATTCCTCGTCGTAGCCTTCGGGAATGCCGGACGGCTGCGGACAGATGGACTCGAAATCGTGCAAAAAGTCTTGAGCCCGTCGCACGATATCCGCATCCAGTTGGACGGACGAGGCGATCTGCAGTCCGTAGCTGGGTGCCTTTCCTTCGATCACTCTGTAGAGGAAGACGATCCTGTCGTCGTTCGGGTCCCTGGTGTGTTCCAGCGTCAGATAATCGATCATACTGCCATCCAACAGTTCTTCCGGACACTCCAGATGCGTGGAGACCACCACGTGCGGACAGTAGGAGCCCTGTCCCAGGAACTTCCTGAGCGCTCCCAGCAGCAAAGCCAGACCCTCGGTGCCTGTAGTTCCACGCCCGAACTCGTCCATCATCACCAGCGAGTTGCGCTTCGCGTTCTGCAACGCTCGAGCCATCTGCAGCAAAACAGTAAAGATAAGTTAAAAGAAAGGTGAACGATAGCACCGTACCTGGGTCAGATCTATGGCGAAGGCTGAGAGGTTGAGGAGCGCCGATTCGGTTGCGTGCATCCTCGAGTGTATGCTGTGCAGGATCGCGACGTTCGCATCGGAGGCGGGCAGATTGCATCCGATGTGCGCCAGGTAGACGAGCAGCGCGGTTTGCTTCAAGAAGATCGTTTTACCGCTGGAATTCGGCCCGGTGATGATCTTCATTGGTTTGCTTGCACCGCCGGACGCGTAATCGTTTTTCACGTAATTGCTGTCCGTCAACTCCAGCAGAGGATGTCTGCCGCCGACGATTTCGATCACGTTGGAATCGTTGAAGCGCGGTCGCACGTAGCCCTTCTCAAACGAAACCTTCGCCATCGATATCAAACTGCAATCGAACTATCACAACCTACGTAAGAGAGGATTTGCATCCAAGTACCAATCTATGAGAGCGATGACATCGAGAGGTTCCCGGATGTGATTGTTGAAGCGCAGCACGAAATCCGCCAGTCTCTCGATGATCCTGTGCTCGTGCTCCAGAATATCGGTTATTACATTGCCCAACTGCTTGTCCAATTCTGCAATGTGTTTACAACATTCAGCAAACCATTATTACAATATCACACAATTACCTTGGCATAGGGCGTTCTTGTAATGGTAGTTGTCGTTCAATTCGAACTGCATGCAAATCGAAAAAGATATATTATTTATATAATGGGATCATTTCTACCTGCTACCATACACACCATGTACTGAAAACCGAATTCGTGCATGGATCGCGGATCGCAATTCTGATCCCATTTCTTGACGGCGACGACGTGCCCCATGTCCGGGATGAAGCAAACGACGCACTCCTTCAGAAAAGCAGGCAGCTGATCGACGACGATGTTGGCAGCAACTGTGACCCTCTTGAAGATATCCTCTTTGATCATCTTCTCTGCAACGAATCACAATTAACAATAATTACATTACATCTCGCAAGTAGCAAACTTACTCTCATCTAAATCGACGTCCAGGCCCGCCTTGATCGCCGGTCGATTGTTCTTCGAGGCTTGCAACTTAAAGTCCAGCGTGCTGTAGATGCTCCGTTCGAGGCCGTACAGCGATGCGGATACCTTCTCGTTCAGTTCCGAGAAGATCTCCACCTCATCTTTGTGCGTCGCGCAGAACTCGTTCAGAAACAGCACGTTGTAAATCGTCTTCGGATTAATCACAGCAATTATCCAGTGTTTCTGTTATCTCAAATATCTACTCACCGTGTAGAGCAATTTCCAATCGCGCTTCGTTCCTCTGGAGTGTTGAATCTTTGTAAAGATGGACTAGACACATACACTCATTAATCTGTATGTATCTATCAATCAATTAAAGGGACTTACGTTAAGGTTCGACACGTTCTTGATGACTTCGGAGAGGGCGTCGATAAATGCTGCTCTGGACGGACATCGCGCGAAATCTATAAAATCCAATCGTTTCTTCAATTCGCGCACGTTATTCGTCGGTGTGGCCATCAGATTTCTAAGCTTCACGTATCCCAGACTCGATCTGCAATGCTGGGAGAGCAGTTTGAAGAGGCTCGCTCCTTCGCGCGACGTCGAATTCGATCCGCGCTTGAAGCTGGCGTCGTGGTTCAACGTCCTGAACACTTGCAGCGCATTGAACGTCATCTCGTCGATCAGCACGTGATCCGATCTGCAAACGCAACGTTAACACGAGAGAATGCAAGATTCGTATTGCTCACATCGTGGATCGTTTCAGATGGTAAAAGACTAAATCACCGGCGACGTCACCTTTCAGCTGGTGCCAATGCTTCTCCACGAACTTGACGAGGGCACCGAGCGCGTGCACCGTCAGCTTCATCTGAAAGTTGATCGACTGCGACTGGAGGTGAAGCTGGTGCTCCTCGTACGAGAGTCCCTCCGCCTCCGACCTGGTGTGCAGCGCCTTCACCCGGTGTTCGCACAATACGTGCGCTGCAAATTACAGTTACAAAAGTATTCCAAACCAATATTTCATAATATTCGTACAGTATTCTTTGGATGGCAGCAGGCTCAGATTGTCGGGCATCGTTTTCAGGTCGTAGGAGCGGTGCGACGGGGATGACGATGTATTGGAGGAAGCCTCCCCCTTCTGCTCGGCCATCATATCCACCAGAGTCTTTACGAAATGATCGCAGGGCGATCCGAGCGTCAGCACGTGGACCGGTCTCACCTCACGCAGGATCGCGGAGGCGTGAGAGTAGTGCGGTTGAAAATCGATCAACTCCTCCACGAAATACAGCTGAAACAAATTGACTTTTGTTTCATTTGTTATTGTTTGTTTGTTGCTTACAATCTTATCGCTGATCCTGTAGTAAGCGGCGGACATCCTCGCGTTCCTGAACAGCAGACACATGATCGCATCGTTCGAATCGCTCTCATCTTCGCGAACAGTTTCATCCGCGACCCGACAATCGTCCAATAATTGCACTATGTTGATATCGTTGTCGCCGGACGTGGAGGACATTTTTAAAACTTTGTTCAGAAACAATGCTGCCAAATTGTGAATTTGAATATTGCGCAAAGGGCAGCCAATCGAAGAAATTGTGTTATTGCGGTTGCCTGTAGTGTCGTATAAGTTTGGGGGGCGGTCGAGGATTGGGGTTGGCAGCGATCGCTGTTTGGGGCGTCTTGTGGCGACGATCGGCGTAGTTCGTGCTTCTCCGCGTTCGCTCTGAAGACATCAGGAAGGCGTTGGGATCGCGCCGAAGTTGAATCAGCAGCAGACCTTGCGTCGTCGCGTTAACCAGCGATTATTCACATTCGAGTTCTTCTGTCCGAGCCGGACTGATCGTGTAAGTGCGTTTCATTCCCCCCCTCTGTGTATGTGGTAGTAGTTTTTGTACGCGCGCGTTAGTGAGTGTGTGTGTGCAATCTGCATTGCATTTGCGAGAGGAAGTGGAAGAGTACTAATACCACAGCACACTTGCCCTTACCGGTGTGTTGTTGTTACATTACAATTTGCAGAATCCGCAACAATCATCGTCGCAGTTAACTGCAGTTCTTACTGAGTTCGGGTGGTGGTGCGTTTGTGCGTGTTTCTACGTACACGCAGAGTGTGCGAATAGGATTTTTTTAGCAACTTCTCAGTGGGCAGCAGTAGCCAGCCAGCAGCAGCCTTCTACTCCGGTAAGCATTCGTTTTTATTCCAATATTCTTTTCATCTCGTTTTTTCACCGACCATTCGATAACAGATTTGGCGTTTCACGGCCGCCTCCCCTCGAGAAACGCCACCCCTGATGCAACGTGCGCGTCGAGGGGCAGGGTGGATCATGATGATGCATTCTTTCTCTCTTTCCTTCTCTCTCTAGTTCGACCCTTTTCCTTGTTTATTCACGTCTCTTTTTTTTTTATTATATAGTTTTAACGTTTCTTATTTGTTTTGTTTTTTTATTGTTTTTATTTTGGCAAATCCGACGCCCCTGTCTCGCAAACGTTAACCTCGAAAACGTTGACACGGGGTGGCTTTGATCATCAATTCGATCTGAATCGTCGTCGTCGTCTTCGTCTCCTCCTACATCCCCCACAGTACAATTACTGCTACTGCAATTGTTATTATAATCGTCATCGCCACCTTCGACGTTAGTCAGAGCGCCCCCGGGGCTGCATTGCCTGCCATCCGCAATGCAAATTCCGCTCTTCAACCGTACACATCTATTTTTAAATTGCGTTTCGTTTTCTTTCCATTTTCATTCAACCAGCCGCACTTAATCATCGAGAATGACTAATTTACAAATCTACTTGATTAGAATAACAAAGCACCCTCTGTATAATTATCATTTTTGTTAATTTTAACTCGAGTCTATTGATCATAAACTAAATGAATCATCCTTATTAAAAAAGAACACTCGATTCAATTAATCCAACCGTTCTTTTTACAATGAAACTTTTCTTCTCTTTTGAGTCACTCCACATCACATAAATGATTCCCTTTCACATACACAAACAATTGATTAATTGTTTGAACTAGTAGTAAAGTGCACGTCCATTTTCATGTATGTGTATATTATACCTGCGGTTGCAAATCTACCTGACTCGACAATTATTTCACAGATCGTAAATCTCGTCAAAAAGGATCATCACCATTCATACTATACCAGAAACTAAACCATACAAATGTTTACTAAGCTATATGATTTATTTTTTATTCTCTTGTTGTATAACGAGGATTTTACTCGAAGAATTTGTTTTGAGAAATAAGTGTCTCTGTTATTTTGTTAGTTTTGAATTGTGATTTGTTTACGTGTTTCTCGCCTCTGTAGTGTACGATTTTCGCAGCTCGCCGTCAATTCAAAGGAATTAGTGTTAATTCTCGTCTCGGTCCCATCTCGCTCGTTGATGATTAACAATTGAGCGAATTGGAAAAAGAGGCGACACGCAGTTCGTGCTGCAATCACTTCTTCTTTAAGAAAATAGAATAATCTCTTTATCAGAACCATTTCTTCGTTTATTCGATTTCATACCTGTACACATTATATTCTGCGTGTGTGTTGGAGAGAGAGAGAGAAAGTTCTTTTGTCGGATGGGCGGATGGGCGAATCAGAAGGTCCGATGGTACAGCAGCTGTTCGTCTCCTCTTTTTTTTCTTGTCCGGCCACCTGCCATCAGAACAATAAGAAAAAAAGAGGAGCGAAGAACGAACGAAAGAAGTTCTTCTAAATTTACAACAAAAAACCCTCCTCGTGGAGGGAGATTCCCTATTGCGGATGGATAAGATTATCTTTGCTTCGTCTTCTTTAAAGTTCGGGGCGCGCAGCTAATAACCGGAGGTCGTTAATTCGTTTTTATCTGGTTGCACTTAACGGGCGGTCTTCGCACCCTCTTCTCCTGCTTCTTCGCATCCTCTTCTCGATGCTTTAAATAAACGGCAATTCCGTGGATGGAAATAGTCCAATAGAATTATCGTTCCGAGGGCTTTCGTTCTTTATTTCTTCATTTCGTTGTTACGAAATACATTCATCCTCCTCCACGGTTCTTTGTGTGTGTGCACGCTTTGAGCATAGAGTGTGCTCACTCTGAATAAGACTCACCACGAAGATGAAGACGATGAGAGGAGGAGGTTATCTTCTTCCTGGCTCGAACGCTCATCACGTCATGTCATCTATGAAAATATTCCTTGGTGATTTCTCTATTGCAAGTTTGTTTGGCGCGTTGTTAAGCAACTGACACCCGGGGTTATCGCTTTACCGTCGCCATGGTGAGATTGTAAACAATGCAATGAATGGAATCCAATTTCCACATGGACGATCATTGTTGTCGTTGCGAACCTCTTCCTTTTTTTTTTTCACTCTCTTTCTATCTTTCTATTCCTCTTATCTCCTCTGTGTTTTAACGTTCGGAAACGATGATAGCATAACATAAATGGAATTAACATCAATTGGGGTCATCGGAAGTGGAGGTCAATCGGTTTTAATTAATCCGCACGGACCAAACGTCGTCGTTTGCGCGCCCTTTTCGTTCGCACTTCTTCCCACGCACACGCACATCTGGATAACAAATTTCGTCCTCCGATTCGGAGCAAGAAGGCCTTGCATTCCGTAACACCATTAATTTGTTTTTCTTCTTCTGTTTTGTAATTCGAATCTTTACCAGCTGTTGTTACATAATATCGTGTTAGCCGTGGAAATTTTGACTTGCAACCGTTTTTTTTTTATCAATTGTTATGCTTTAAAGGTAGGAATTCCAAAAATTCGTTGCTACTCCTTCTTTCGTTTCGATTACTAATACTCATTTTCGAAGCGTGTGAGTTGAATGAGAAATTTAAATCCATCTCGAGTACTTGGAATTAAGCGAAGAATAAGAAGTTTAACGATTTTAATTTCGTGTAGTCGTTTTGTTTGCTTGTATAAATGCGTTACGTGATGGACGGACGTAAGGACGGACGGCAAGCAACTGGTGCACCTTGAAATATTAATTATGTACAACACTAGTTGACTCTTTCGAATTGTACGTTTGATTATTAAGAGGTGGACGTAGATTATGAATTAAACATTGCTTGTTGCTGCAAATGATTGTTTTCTTCTGTGTATTATATAGACTGGGGCGTTACCCTAAACTCGTTGCTTGCGTCCTCCTCCCTTTTGTCTTTAAATTGGATTAATAAATGGGATCATATCCTTTCGTCGCGTCGCGTCAAGAATTCTTCGAAATCGTCGTTGATCGAATTCAATTGCATAATTCGAGCGACGGCTCTCTTCTCGTTTCTAGTGCAGATTTTACAGCATTGCTTCTTTCAACGTTTCGCATCGATATCATTCCTATAGAGTAAGCAAAGAAAAACCGTCCATCTTCGTATACATCATCACCATATTTGCAACGATTGTCGTCATCATTAATTCACTCGTCGCTCCTTTTAATTTGCATCATTGATTGATTATTGTTTAAGTAACATTCCAAACTATACTTTAAGATAGTGGAGATTCATGTCGCGATGATGAGGTTCTTTGTGTCAGAGTTAAGAGGTGTTGTTTCTTGGTTTATAATTAACTGTAGCTGAGAGATGAATCTCGATTTCTTCTGAATAGAATTGCCTCGTTTTCTTTTCCTTCCTCTTGCTCCATCTCCTGCAGTATTTATAGATGTAAACAAGTGAAATATGTGCGCAATTGTTCCGCCCGTCCCCGGACGCGCTTCCGCTTTTCTTTCTCCTCTCCAATCAAAGAGAGGTAAACAAAAAACAAGCATTAATTATAAATATGTATTTTTTTTGCTTCCAGATTGGTGTTCCTAATTACGTCTTCGAGAGAGAGTGCGCGCGTGTGTGTTGTTCGTGCGTCCGAGAGCGATGATGCTGTTTCGTGCTGCATCCGCTTCCGAGACTCATCATCATCCCACGAAGATGATGATGAAGTTGGTTGTGTTTATGATGATGATGGTAGTGATCGGTGTCTTCGGTGCTTCCGAGGATAACACCGATGGTCCGGTGTTCGTGCGCGAACCGCCGAATCGCGTCGACTTCTCCAATACGACTGGAGCCGTCCTCGAGTGCAGCGCCAGAGGTAATCCTCTACCGGAGATCATCTGGGTGCGCAGCGATGGAACGGCCGTCGGCAACGTGCCCGGTCTTCGCAACGTCCTCGCCAACGGAAATCTCGTCTTTCTTCCGTTCCGAGCGGAAGACTACCGTCAGGAGGTGCACGCCCAGGTCTACTCTTGCCTCGCCAAGAACTCTGTCGGCTCCATCAACTCCAGGGATGTCAACGTTCGTGCAGGTAACGCTCGTCACCAGCATCTCCTCTGTACAACAGCTGTGCATCAAATATCATCAGCATCATCATCATCGTAAAGTGATTCATTAATTTAAAGTCAATTTATTGTATGTTTGATGCACGGTGTGTTAAAAATTAATCACGTTTTGCTGTTTCTTCAAGCAGTTTTCAGGGAATTTCAGTATTATGACCAGGAAGGATGGACGATTGCCATTATTATTATTATTGTTTGTGTTTTGTGTCGTACATTGTTGAGGGTATTCGAATTGTGGTGTATTGCAGTTGTGGCTCAATTCTACGATACGGATGTGAACAAGGAGTACGCGATCCGCGGTAATTCGGTGATCCTGAAATGCCAGGTGCCGTCCTTCGTCGCCGACTTCGTTGCAGTTGTATCCTGGCACACCGATCAAGGGGAGAGTTTCTATGCCGGAGCCCCAGATGGTACCTTTCCACAACACTCTCTGTTAGATGTATATCTAATTCTATCTGGCTCTCCCACTCGCTCCAACGAACACCACCACAACAAACCTCATTCACATATGTCTCTGTCTCTCTCGTTTGATGCGCATGCATGAATGATTTGCAGTTGTCCAGCAGTACTACCAGACGGAGGTGAACAACGAGTACGTTATCCGTGGAAATTCCGCGGTGCTGAAATGCGCAATTCCCAGCTTCGTCGCAGACTTTGTAACGGTCGTCGGATGGACGGATACCGATGGAAACGCCTTCGATCCGACCAAACAATCCACCAATTTCGGTACATTTGATCACAATCACTTCATCACAATGGATGATGATCTTCCAACTGCTATGTATCATCCCTCAATACCTCGAATCCAATTCTCAGATCTTAATGTGTGTGTGTGTGTGTTTCTTTCTGTATTGATTGATGAATGTTATTGGGATTCTCGTCCGTTTCCGTGCTTTTTCTCTCTTGCAGTCGTCAACCAGTATTACCAGGCGGAAGTGGTGTCCGAGTACGTGATACGCGGAAATACGGCCGTGCTGAAATGCAACATCCCGTCCTTCGTTGCCGACTTCGTGAGGGTCGAAGCCTGGGTCGGAGGCGACGAACGCGAATATACCTATTCCAACCTATACGGTACTCTCTGATTCTGAAAGCAACCATTTATACCTCTTGCCCTTTTAACTAATCCCTATCAAATTGAGATCGTTTGTTGTTGCATCTGCGTGCGTGCATTTGTGGGTCTTCGTTCGTCCTTTTCTCTCTTGTATTCACAGTTTCAGTTGGGTAATTTCAGTTGTGAACCAATTCTACAAGGCGGAGATCCTCACAGAGTACGTGATCCGTGGTAATTCGGCAGTGCTGAAATGCAGCATCCCCTCGTTCGTCGCCGACTTTGTGTACGTCGAGGCATGGTTGGATGAGCGCGGAACCGTCCTCCGCGCCTCTCCACCATCATCCAACAACAACAACAACCCTCAAGATTACGGTACTTTTGCCTCTCTGATAATAATGTCTTTCTCTTTGCCTCCGTTTCTCTACTCCTCCACCTCAATCCACCCAATCATCGATCATCGTTCATCCAGTGGTGGCCCAGCACTACGTGACGGAAGCTGAAAACGAGTACGTCATCCGCGGAAACAGCGCCGTCATGAAATGCAAGATACCCAGCTTCGTCGCCGACTTTGTTCTCATCGATTCCTGGATCGCAGACGACGGACGCACTTATAGACGAGACTCCTCATCGTCTCAAAATTATGGTACTTTCTTTTTTTCAGCTTCCTTCTCCTCCTCCTCCTCCACCCAAATGGAAACCATCCACATGTTCTCGATCTCTTCTCGTGCGCGCATCTCGACCTCCTCGTCTAGACTATTCTCATTGATCTCAGCTGCATTTCTTCTCTTTTGTGTGTATTGTTGTTTTTTCTTTTTTCTTCTGGTGCAGTCGTGGCGCAGTCGTACGAAGTGGAGGCGGACAACGAGTACGTTATACGCGGAAATTCTGCGGTCATGAAATGCGAGGTGCCCTCCTTCGTCTCGGACTTTGTCTCCGTAGAGAATTGGCAGGATTCGCAGGGAAACACCTACATCTTAGACTCGAATTTCGGTACATAAAAAAGCAGCCGAATAGTATATAATTAGAACATGCCTTGCAGAACGTAACTTATTGATTAAACACTCCACCGTTTCTTATCGTTTCTACCCTTAATCGCTATCCACTTGAATGTATCTTTATGACTGAGATAAGTAATCTTGTGTGTGTGTGATCGTAATTGGTCTTCTTCGTAAAGTTCGATTCCTTGTATTTCTGATTCGAATCGATGTCTTCATTCACCGCAGTCGTTCAGCAGTTTTACCAGAGCCGCGTCATCGACGAGTTCGTGTTGCGCGGCAACACGGGCATCCTCAAATGTCTGGTGCCCAGTTTCGTCACCGATTTCGTTGCCATAGAAGCATGGATTGGAGATGACGGATCTACGTTCACCTACGAACCGGACTTTCCCAGCACAAGACAACAACAACATCAACATCAACAACACGGTTAGCGTGATGCCTGCTACAAGAAGCAAGAAGCAAACATCCTTCCAAAACATATCATCTTCTATTCTCCTCCACTTTCTTAATGTGTGTCTTTGTTTTCTTTCTTTTCGCGTGCACACGAGATCATGTTACCTTCTGTTCCAGTCGTGAATCAGTATTACGAGGCCCAAGTGTACGACGTCTTCGTGATCAAGGGCAACACGGCCGTATTCAAATGCCAGATCCCATCGTTCGTCTCTGACCACGTCGACGTCACCACGTGGCAGGACACCGATAACAATAGATATCTGCCACCGGGCAACCGCGATTACGGTAGTAGTAGTAATAATCATACATTACTAAACAAAAGAAGAAGTAGAAGCTGATTCGTTCGTTCGTTCGTTGCCATGGTGTTAATAATATTATTATTGTATGGTGCACCTGTTGCATCCACCATTCATGTGCGGGAACGCGCGCGCGCTCTCTCTCCTCCGCCCACTTGGATCCACCATTATTACCTCTTTCATATCTGCATCCCCCCGGCAAATAACACAAAAACAAACAAACAAAACAACCACACAGATCTCTCTCACTCTCTCTCTCTCATACACTTTTCTTCTTTCTGCCTCTCGTTTGACCCACATCGCAACAGCAACTCTTTTGTTTCTTCTCACCACGCAAAGGCCATTTTTCGCGTGGGCCCTTGCTGTTTTCTTTCACGCAACATCGGACAAAAGAAAATCGAAACAACGCTCGGCCTTCTTTGCGCATTCTTTCCAACTTGATGGTTAACGATGTTGCATCTTGTCGTGTCAATATTAATAGCTCGCATTCTATTATGAGTTTATGAATGAATATTTAGTGATCGACTGAGGAGGAGGAGGACGGAGGACGTCCAATTTTGGTTGTGTCTATAGTCGAGGCCACATGCTGTTTGTTACGTGTTTGTTAGTATCAGTGTGTTTCTTTGCAGTCGTTTCGCAAGTGTACAATTCCAATGTCATGGATGAGAGCGTTCTGAATGGAAACACGGCGGTCATCAAATGCCACATTCCCAGTTTCGTTAGCGATTACGTGTCCGTCACATCCTGGCTCCAGGATGGAACCAAAGAGATCAGACCGCAGCAGAACAACAACTACGGTGCGTCTCTATTTCTCTCTCTATCTCTCTCTCTCGTCTTCAATAATAATCTCTATATCTCCAATACTAAATCTTCACACCTTCTTCATTTCATACAATTAAAAACATACAATTCGTTTGCGAATTCATTGCACGATGGACGTATCTTGTTGGTTCGAATCTGATCTTCTTCCGACGCGTTGATTATTCCTTCGTAATTGGTGACTCGAGATTTCCGTCGTCGGTATAGAACGAAATAGAGAAAACGAAAGAAACGAAAGATCTGCATCTGGGACTGAAATTTGATTCCTTCTTTCCGCTCCTCTCTCTGAACCCCACACAGACCCTTCCTCGCATCCCATCGTTCCATCCATCCCTAATTTAATTGCTTCGCTAACATTCGTAGTTAATTTAGTTGTAGAGTAGTAAAAAAAAAGAACACGACACTTTGACGATATATTACTTGAACAAATCTATTCAAGATTCGTAAAATTAGAATATTTCTTTTGTATTTGCGTAATCGTTGCATTTGGCGTATGAAGTCATCGCGGTTTTTGCAAATAAATGTAAAGAAACAAGAGCGTAGTTTGTAATAACAAGTAATTATTATGTATACATCGTCAAAGTAACGTAAACATAATATAGATAAATAAATGAACGACGACGACTACTACGACCACGACGACGAAATATAAACTAACATTATTAGCTAATATATCTATAACGTGAGCGTGAGCAATTTCAAGTATGCGTTACGAATCGAGTACGTTTAAAGAAAAAAATGAATAACGAATATTGAATATATCAAATTAATCAAGACGTCTCTTCAGCAACAATGGTCGTCGTCGTCGTCTTTTGTTTATTTGGGATTGCACAATAGTGTATTCAATTTGGTTGTTTTTTTTTATAGTAGTAGCAACACGAGGACTCGATTTGCATAGGATTCGCGATGATAATTCGCGCGAAATTCCTGACCTTAAATTTGAAAGTGAAAAAAGAAGAGTGATTAATGATGTAATTGATTGAAATAACTTTTGTTTGTTAAAAGGGGGGAAGAAATGAAATGAATAAGGGTCATCGACCCATTAAAATTTTGATGTTTGTAGAATAATGAATGAATTAATGAATGAAAAAGGTTCAGTTACATTAAGTCCGGTTCCGGTTTAACTTTTCCGTTCGCGTTCCGTAAATATGGTCATAATAATCGAGTGCTCGAGTGTTTTTAATTGCCGTTAATTAGTTGTAGTTGAAGTTGTGGTTAATGCGGACTGCATATTAATATGTGTTTGTGTGTGTATTTTAGATAGCAAATATTTGGTTCTTCCGAGCGGAGAGCTTCACATCAGAGATGTTGGACCCGAGGACGGATACAAATCTTACCAATGCCGCACCAAGCATCGTCTCACCGGAGAAACAAGACTCAGCGCAACCAAAGGACGTCTCGTCATCACCGGTAAGTCCTAAATTCACAAATCAAATCTATAGAAGAACAAAACGATTATAAAGATTTAGTTAGTATTAATCGAAATCATTGATCGGTAACAAAAAGAAAAGTCATAATTTGTATTCTATTCAATTCAAAGCAAATCGATCAATCATCTCGTCTGCATTACAAATTTGGATATAAAATCAGTTTTGGAAGGACTCCGAAAATAGATTCGTCCTTGACTCATCGCGATTCGCTAACTAAATCTATATATATATCTTTTATGTCTGTCGATTCAGATCTTCGATCGAGTCCACAGATATATTGAATTGTGGGATGTCTTGCAAACACCATACGATTATTACGAAAATTATGTTGTAAATTGTAAACTTCTTTTGGATTTGTTGTTTCGTTTGATGGTGGATGGAAGATCGTCCCGGTTATGGGAGAAGGAATATTCGTGGTAATGTTCCTTTTCCTATTTCCCCCTCCAAAAATAAATAGGTAAATCTGAGCGAGATTAAGATATGATTGCGTTCATCTCGGCTCCGATTTGCTTATTTATTTATTGTTATAATGTCCAAGCCCCCAGAAATGCCTGAATGTTGGGATAGGGTACCCTTGCTTCTCGTGTCGTGTGTCCTTCGCGTGCGCGCGCGCTCTCTTACTCACTTTTTTTTACAATTATAATTTCATAATTTTAATATCATTTACGCTAATTTTGTTTCAATTTACTTTTTATAAATTTAACTTTTAACTGATCTAATTCGAGCTGCGCGGAAATTGTGCTGTTGTTCTCTGTGGTCGCGGCGTCTTTGTCCATTCCTTCATCTAATCCTCCTCCTCTCCTTTCCCTGTAAGAGAGCAAACGAATCTCTTAGTTTCTCTTAAATTACTGCTGCATCCTTTGATTTTCGCTTTCCGTCAGATCTGTTACTTTATATGATGTAACCAGGCGTTAAAGTAAACTAAATATAATTAATATAGATTAATATATAGACGAGCGAAGCAAGATAGTTAAATTAGGGATAGAAATAGTATTGATGATACGAAATATATATATATTTAGGATTTAGAATGGAAATGTTATTTTCTTTCCATTCAGACATGTTATTTGTTTTGTCGTTTTGTTTGCAAACTGCTTCAGATTGAATGGGTGTGTTTGTGTATTGTCGTCTGGTTGCAACTGTTAAATTAATGGATGATGATGATTCGTGCACTCGTTCCAAATCCTTTTTTATTACCCTTTTTTTTTTGCTTGTCTTTGCTGTTCAACCTTGTCGTTTTCGTTTCCTTTTACGTTTTCATTTACTTTTTCTTTTAATTTGTGGATGATTTTTGTTGGGTACCCTCGTCCTCCCGTAGTTTAAGAGGCGGTGACGGTGGCGGGGTTACGCGTGTTACATTATTACTCTTGTTGATGATGATGATGACGGCTGGTGTTGTTGTTGTTGTTGTTGAGGATGAAGAGGTAAGTCTGATTGGGATTCGGTTTCTATTTGTTTTGTTTATTGTACAGAACCGGTAGCGAGCGTTCTGCCGAAATTCCCGCTTGAAATTAGAAAGGAAAATAGGTTCGCGATCGATGAAAGTCTGACCCTTCTGTGTCCGGCGCAAGGATACCCCGTCCCATTCACAAGGTACTAAAAAACAAAACACTCGACAATTAACTGCTACTGCCTTCCCGTTTTTTGCATCCCCCCCCTTCTCATTCATATCTCTTCTACTCTTTTATCTTGTGCTGCTCGTGCGCTGGTTATCAGAACCGGTTGGCAGTGTCCTTCCGAAATTCCCTACCACGGACAGTTCGAGGTCCTTCGGGGCGTCGCGAGGCGAGAGTCTGACCCTTCTGTGTCCGGCGCAAGCGTACCCCGTGCCCATGATAAGGTAACACAAACCATTCATTTACCAATCTTTTTTTGGGTCTTTCGCTGTTTTGCAGAGCCCATGGGACGCGTTCCACCGCATGCCCAAAAATTACCATCAGTAGACTCTTCGCAGAGATCGAACATTGCATTGCTATGTCCAGCTCAGGCGTTTCCAACACCCAATTTTAGGTATATTTATTCATATTATTAAAGGAGAATCAAGGGTATACCATCTAGATTATAAGACGTGTTGATTAGCTCAGTAAAAGTCATTCCACTTCCTCTCTCTCGCGCAGAACCCGTTGGAACGGTGCAACCGCGTCTCACATCCGGTGATCTCTCGAGAACTGCGACCGGCGAAGATGAGGGAAGCGTTACCCTTCTGTGTCCGGCGCAGGCATACCCTGTCCCCTCATACAGGTAAATCTTGTATAGAAACGAAAGTTTAGACACACTTTTCTCCGAGTAGAACCGGTCGGAACGGTGCAACCGCGTCTCACGTCCGGTGATCTCTCAAGAACTGTGGCGACGGCTATGAAGAGCGTTACTCTTTGGTGTCCCGCACAGGCGTACCCTGTCCCCTCGTACAGGTAAATCACACATAGAAACGAAAGTTTAGACATGCATTTCTCCGAGTAGAACCGGTCGGAACGGTGGCGCCTCGTTGGACGGCCGGCACCTCCAAGATCCAGACGCTGGACGGAGGCGTCGCGACGTCTCTGACCCTAAAGTGCCCGGCCCAGGCGTATCCCGTCCCACTGTTCAGGTATAAACCCCACGATTCCTCTTACGCATTACCTTTTTTCTGTTATCTTCCGTTAAGAGCCCATCGGTAGCGTCAAACCGAAATTCCCGACCATCGATAAATCGCGTACCTTCGAGGCTTCGATCTTCACCAGCTTAACACTTCTGTGTCCGGCACAAGCCTACCCTGTCCCATCGATAAGGTACAGAAAACCATTCAACTATTCTCTTCCGCTTCTCTTCTCTTCTCTTCTCTTTCTATCTCTGTATTATGCACGTGCAGAACCGATGAGCAGCGCTCTACCAAAAGTCTCGTCGAAGAGCAAGTACGATGTGATCGAGTACGCAGAGTTCGTGAGCATTGCTCTCGTTTGTCCCGCACAAGGGTACCCGGTCCCTCACTTCAGGTAATAATATTCAACTCAACTCTGTACATTTATTAGAGCCGATGGCCAGTAGACCACCAACACTTCTATCGCACGCGAAGCTCACCTGGTTTGTAGAACGTTCCGGTTACGATTTGGCCGTCCTCTGCCAGGCACAAGGGTACCCAACACCGATCTTCAGGTGCGAATGTATATATTTGTTGTATCCTTTATCCATTCTCGATCCTCGCTTTAGAACCGATGGCCAGTAGACCTCCGACCCTTCTGTCGCACGCCAAATCCAGCACTTTCGTCGAGCGATCCCATTCCGATCTGGCCGTCCTCTGCCAGGCCCAAGGGTACCCGGTGCCCCTCTTCAGGTGAAAGCCTCATTTAGTAAATCTTGAAATTATTGCGTTACCTATTAGAACCGGTCGGTCATCGCGCTCCCACCTTCACCGACGTCAAGGGAATCATGCTGGAGAAGACGTCCGGTCACGGTTTAACACTCCTATGCGAGGTGCAGGGTTACCCGAAGCCTTCCTTCAGGTACCGTTTCTTTTTTTTGTTACTCGCTTAAATCGCGTATTTCTTTGCGCATACAGAACCGGTCGGTCTTCGCGCTCCAACCTTCACCGACGAAGGCGTCATGATGAAGAAATCCGCCGGTCACGGAATAGCGCTCCTCTGCCAAGGACAGGGATACCCGACGCCCTCCTTCAGGTACTTCCACTTTCGTATTCTCAATCTCAAATTTCTTGGTAAATAGAACCGGTCGGATCGCGCGCACCCAGCCTCGTCTCCGACGTGAAGAGCGTGACCATCGAAAAGATTGTCGGTCACGGTCTAGCTTTACCTTGTCAGGCGCAGGGATACCCGAAGCCATCCTTCAGGTATGCGGTCACCAGTCCCATCAGTATCACATTGTATTGAACCTCCTGTTAGAACCGGTCGGCACGAGAGCGCCCCAACTCCTCGCCGACTCCAAGCTAAAGTACGTTGAACGTCTTCGCGGCTCCGGCATTCCCATCTTCTGCCAGGCTCAGGGTTACCCTCTGCCAACGTTCAGGTCAGTCCATCAGTACCATCCGACTAACTTGAAACACATCCATCTGCTCCTTCGTTTCCTCCCTCTGCGTTAAACGTGCAGAACCCGTCGGCGTGAAAGGGCCCGTCTTCTCGAGCGATGACATGTCCAGCTCGTTCTTCAGGCAGTCCGGTTCCGGATTCGCACTGCTCTGTCAGGCCCAAGGGCTGCCCATACCCAAGTTCAGGTATTTCATTAATTCGGTATTTCGTTGAGTGTTAAATTCGTGCATGTGGTGGCAGAACCGGTGGGAACGAAGAAACCGATCTTCTCTAGCGATCTGAAAGTGCTCGGATACGATCGTACAGAGGGTCACGACATCGCGTTACTATGTCCCGCGCAGGCCCTTCCGCTGCCCAACTATAGGTACGGTATATAAGCACAATTCTCCTCTTCTATCTTTCGCTTTCGTTCCTTGCAGAACCCGTCGGCACCAGAGCGCCCAAACTCACGGCTGACGCCAAATTCAAGCACGCCGAACATCAATCCGGTCGAGGAGTAGCGCTCTTCTGTCCGGCCCAGGGATACCCACTCCCTTCATTTAGGTCTCTCACATTAACTTACTCATCTATTTACACCGCAGTAGTTTACGCAATTTCAATCGAAAGCATAACGCAAACTTGTATTAGAGAGCTCTTTTTGTTTCTCTATTTTAGAACCTGTTGGCGTGAAGGCGCCCGTCTTCTCGACCGATAATCTGGCCAACGCCTTCCTTCGACAATCCGGTCAAAGTTTCGCTTTGCTCTGTCAAGCTCAAGGGTTACCCATTCCCAAGTTCAGGTCTGCACTTTTTGTTTTTGGGTTTTCGCTTAATCTCTTTCTATTATTTTTGTTTGCTCGCTCTCATCCACGATTCTCTCCTTAGAACCTTTGGGTAGTAAAAAACCGACGTTCTCGAACGACCTGAAAAGCATGGGCTACGAACGACACCAGGGGCAAGATTTCGCTTTACTTTGTCCCGCGCAAGGACTACCCTTACCACTGTTTAGGTAGGCTCTCCCTTTTTCAATTCTACTTACTTTTTTTTACACGTTTTCTGTGCATCCCTATGCAGAGCCGGTCGGTAGTAAAATGCCCACTTTCTCGTCCGATTCGAAGGGTTTCATCTACGATCGTCGCGTCGACATAGATCTGGCATTGCTGTGTCCGGCGCAAGCATTACCCGTCCCGATGTTCAGGTAATCTCAACATTTACTCAAGTTCGTTGTTGTTGCGCTTCCATTTAGAACCAGTCGGCTTTAAGGCGCCATCCTTTTCGAACGATGCCACCAGCATCTCTTTGACTCGCTCTATTGGACAGAGTTTCGCACTGCTCTGTCAGGCTCAGGCCTTCCCTGTCCCAGCATTCAGGTCAGTCTAATAAGCAATTATCCATCTCTTCCTCCTCATCCTTCTCATCCTCATCCTTGTCGTCTTCTCATACTCGTTTATTCAGAACCTGTTGGAAGCAAGGCGCCCACCTTTTCCTCGGAATCAAAGACGTTCTCATATGACCGGAAGCAGGGTCACAGTTTCGCGCTCCTATGCCCGGCGCAGGCACTTCCGATTCCGTTCTTCAGGTACATTTCGCATTCTTTATCTTTTCTCTTGCAGAACCGATCGGCTCCAAAAAACCTACATTCTCGAACGACGCAACCTTGGTAGCGTATACCAGGGCCGTCGGGCAGAGTTTCGCGTTGCTGTGCCAGGCGCAGGCATACCCTATCCCTTTGTTCAGGTAATTCCGGATGAATAATCATCAAACACTTGTTCTCGCTCTCTCTCTCTCTCTCTTTGCTGCATGATATTTTGATCGATCGATCGATAGAACCGATCGGGTACACTCCGCCACGTCTTCCGCCGAAATCCAAACTGGACGCCGTCACCGTCGACTCTCGCAAGAGTTTCGTCCTTCCGTGCGACGCTCAATCCCATCCACCACCACTCTTCAGGTGGGTCAAATATCTTTCGTAAAAAAAAAACAACTAGAGAAAAGAAGAGCGAGTACCCTACCCATCATCTTAAGTCATGTATTTACATTGTAATCGATGTGTGTAGAACCTCAGACTAGCGTCGCACCGACAGCCAAAGACAAAGGGATTTCCGGTTTGAAGGTGTGGAGCGGTCAGGGGAAGACGTTGCCTCTGATCTGCGCCGCACAAGGGTACCCCACTCCCAAATATAGGTAATTCACACGCATTCATTTCTTCGCTCTTTGCGCGATTTTTAGAACCGTTGGCCGGAGTCGCTCCCAAAGTCCGCGACGACGACGTCGGTAGTCTGAGACGCGTCGTCCAAGAATCTAATTTGGCGACGCTCCTCTGCGCCGCTCAGGCTTATCCAGCACCAATCATCAGGTAAAATCAATCACTAACTTCCAATATCCCCAATCTTCTCATTGTTTTACATTTCGTCTTCGTTTCGTGGGCTTGGATTTGTTCTCTTTCCAATTCGCTTCTTTTTTTTTTGTTGTCATCGAGCATCGTGACTGATTTGCAGAGCCAACTAATAACATCGCTCCAAAGGCTCTGGACAACAGATTCGGATTCGCTAAACTCTCCGTGCAAAACGGAGATCCAGTTTTCGCTCTCTGCCAGGTCGTCGGTTATCCCGTTCCCATCTTCAGGTGGGGATTGCGATCATCTCTTTGTTAAATTCCTTCTGCTCATTTGCTTCTCTTTTATTGTTTGTTTACTTTTATGCTTTAGTTCCTAGTATCTTATTTGTAGTAGTAGTGGTAGTAGTCATATCCCTAAGTAGTAGATGGAACTTCAAGTTTGTGATTTCGTTGCAAATTTGGATGAAATATTCCAGAACCTACGAACAATATCCCACCGAAAGCTCTGGACAAAAAGATCGGTTTCACGTTGATCGTGTCCGTCGTCCGCGAACCGGTCTATCTGATGTGTGCGGTCGTCGGGTATCCCATCCCAATCTTCAGGTAAGTACCGCTTCTTCCTAGTAGAGGTAGACTGTGATCTTTCCAGAGCCGACGGGGAAGATCGCACCGAAAGTACCAGGGCAAAAGTACGAAGGTGGTAAGCTGGTCTCTTTTCCGGTTGGCAGCGTGATCGTCGTCTCGTGCGACGTCGTCGGTTATCCCGTCCCAAAATTCAGGTAACAAAGGACAGAGTTTGCAGACGGGTGTGCGCGCATTATCCATCATATCCATCCGTTCCTGGTCCAATTGATGATTGTTCCCGTTTTTCTTCATCCTTCCTCTCTTCTGCAGAACCCACTAACAACGTTGCTCCGAAGAAGGCGGGCGCCCGATTCGGCGGGTGGATCGTTCTCGATGTTAAACCCGGTCACATCGCGTGGCTCACGTGCCAGGTCACCGCGTATCCCGTCCCAAGATTCTCGTAAGTTCTCTGTTTTCTATCGATCTATCTCCCCGATATCCAGAGCCCACGAATAACGTGCCGCCGAAGAAGGACGGAGAAGCTTTCGAAGGCTGGAAGGTGTTGAGGGTGCCGTTAGCCGGAGACGCCTGGCTCGGTTGTCACGTCACCGGTTACCCGGTGCCCAAATTCAAGTAAGCTCAAGTATCTCCCCAGCAACGCATAATCAATGCCATCCAACGCAAATGTTTATTATCGTCAGCCAGCCTACTCACAACTGCATTGCATGAACGAATAATCTAGGAGAAAGGCTTCTATTTTTTATTTATTTTATTATTAACGATGTTGGTGTGTAGTAGCGCAATTTCTGAATTCTGCATGAACCAGTGAATAGGATTCTGAAGAACGTTTCATTTCATTTCTTAAATCGCACTCGCAGCGCCGCACTTTGCTCGCAATACAAAAAAACAACAAAGCAATTCAATAATTATAGTGTTAAGTTGGAGCAAATGGATGAATCCTAATTGCTGGTTCGTTTCAGAACCGAGCAACAATTTAGCGCCAAAATTGGTGGGCGAACGAACGCCGTGGAAAATATCTTCGCGACCCGTTGACGCCGACGTCTGGGTGCTCTGTCCGGTCGTCGGATATCCCTATCCCATCTTCAAGTAAGTGTTGATGACTGACATCAAATAAATGCGACCCCCTCACACCCTCCTCAATATTTGATGTGCACGTATGTGTTGTGCGGCAGAACCGACGGGATTGACGGCACCCCGTGTCTCCGGAGACGGCCTCAACAAGCGGACAGCGAACGCTGAACGTTCGGTGGTTCTCCTCTGCGACGCCCAATCCTTCCCCGTACCCAGAAAAAGGTAAATCCCGATTACACCACCTGTTGCACCAATCCGCCCTCATCCATCCACCCACCATCCACCACCCACTACGATTCATTCAAATCGAAGCACGCGTGGCGCGCGCGCGCCCACCCTCTCTCTTCTGTTTACCCCCTTTTATTATCTTGCATTTCCATGGCGACACGACGAAGACGGCGGCGGCGGCGTAGGGTCAGTGAGTATACGTGAGTGCATTTGTTTTGCTTTTGCCGATTTTCCAGAGCCAACCGGATCGGTGCGGCCGAGACTAGGAAGCCGCACCATCGACATCAGGGACGTCGCGAAGGGCAGGAGCGCCGTGATCCTGTGTCCGGCGCAGGCCCATCCCGTTCCTCACTTCAGGTAGTAGAAGTAATAGTAGTAGTTGGAATAAAAAGACTAACTATCTCTCGATGACTGATCCTTCTACATCATTACCATCATCATCATTATCATCAAAATCGTCGGCAGTAGTAGCAGTAGCAGTTGATGATACACTCTCGATATATATTGGATTTTATTTTAATCTTTCTCAGATGGTTCAAATTCGTGGAGGGAACGAGCAGGAAGCAGGTCATCGCATTGAACGAACGCGTCAAGCAGGTCGCTGGCACCCTGATCATCCGTGAGGCCAAAGTCGAGGATTCCGGAAAGTATCTGTGCGTCGTCAACAATTCGGTGGGCGGAGAGAGCGTCGAGACCGTGCTGACCGTGACCGCACCACTGAAGGCGAGCATCGAACCCCAAGTGCAGACCGTCGACTTCGGAAGACCAGCAGTCTTCACGTGCGCCTTCGAAGGCAACCCCATCAAAACTATTAGCTGGCTCAAGGATGGACGCAAGATCGACCATTCCGAGGCGATCCTTCGCATCGACGCCGTTCGCAAGGAGGACAAGGGAATGTACCAGTGCTTCATAAGAAATGACCAGGAGAGCGCCGAGGCCACCGCCGAACTCAAACTAGGAGGACGTTTCGATCCTCCGCAGATCCGTCACGCCTTCGACGAGCAAACCCTGAAACCCGGCTCATCCGTCTACCTGAAATGCTCGGCAATCGGCAACCCGACGCCCGAAATCACCTGGGAACTGGACGGAACGAGGCTTTCGAACAGCGACCGCTACCAGATCGGCCAGTACGTAACTGTGAACGGCGATGTCGTCTCAAATCTGAACATCACCGGCATCCACACCAACGACGGAGGTATCTACAAGTGCACGGCCGGTAGTAAAGTCGGTTCGGCCGAGCACGTCGCCAAGATCAACGTCTACGGTATTCCGTTCGTCAAGAAGATGGAGAAACAATCGATCGTCGCCGGAGGAACCTTGATCGTCCATTGCCCGGTAGCTGGATATCCGATCGAATCGATCGTATGGGAAAGAGGTAAGCAACAACGAACTGTTCAATGTGTTTAACTAAACAACTTACTAATTGTTTGATAGATTCTCGTCAACTTCCGACCAGCAAAAAACAAAAGGTCTTCAGCAACGGTACCCTCATCATCGAGAACGTCGAACGCTCCTCCGATCAAGCGACCTACGCCTGCGTCGCCAAGAACTCGCAAGGATACAACGCCAGAGGAATGCTCGAAGTTCAAGTGATGGGTAAGTCGAAATGTTTCAATTCTCAACAAATACCAAAGAAAGTGGTCGCGTCGACGAACGTTAAACGGCAGCAGCAGCAACATATGATATTCAAAGTCTATTACAGCAAATACGATTCGAAACTCTTTCTAGAATCAATCGATGACATCGAATCAATTGATGACATCGAATCGTCGTACGTTCATTCACCGCTGCCGGACAGCACTTATACTTTGCTGTTGTCTTCTCTTTCAGATAAAAATACGAATATTATAACGAGTTTTTGCAAAGGTTTCTACTATCCGTCCGCGACAGTGGTGAATCAACTTGTTGCTTTTCTCGTGTCTGCCGTTTCGTCGTCCGCGCGACAAGCCATCTCGTTTCTCTTCACAGGTACATTTATTCTGTTCAACATGTTCGCATTTGTGGATCACGGTTTTCAGCTGTATCTCTTTCTATATGTATTATCAATGTACACCATGTACGTGTTTGGGATGTTGCTAACGAACTCTACGATACCGTCGGGCATCCTCGACTGCTATATAGTAATAATGCGCTCTAATTAAATGAAGAAATGTGATGTGGGAGGATATGATTATAAGAAGAAGTGTGCTAAGGGATGATGATGATGATGACGATGATACTCTTTCCTCCTCATCATCATCATTGTAAATTGTTGCTGATGCCTCTGGACATGATGATTGGTCGATGGTTGTTGTTCTTGTTGTTGTTGTTGTTGTTGTTGCTATTTGTAGTTTTGCCGGTGATCAATCCGTTCACGTTCGACGGTCCTCTGAATGCCGGCGACAGTGCGGTGTTGACTTGTTACGTGCCGAAAGGCGATCGTCCGCTCAAGATCAGATGGCATTTCAACGGTCGTCACGTCGCGCACAATTCTTTGGGCATTTCGAGTTCGGTGTTCGGTTCGCAAGCGAGCATCCTCAATATCAATTCGATTGAACCGAAGCATAGCGGACAGTACACTTGCATCGCCATCAACGAAGCCGGAAAATCTCATTACACCGCCCTCCTCGAAGTCTATGGTACTTACCACCACCACCATCACCATTTGGTGGCCCATTTCAGCGCATCTATGGAATACATATATATTATTTTATTTTTTATTTTTATATACATTTTTCACTCGTATTATTTTACACGTCCGAAAATCCATTTTTCTTCAACAAACAGTTGCGCCCCAGATATTTCCATTCACTTTCGGCTTCAACGCTGTCGACTCCGGCGAAACCGTCTCAGTCCAATGCATCATCTCCAAAGGCGACTCTCCGCTCAACTTTACCTGGACATTGAATTCGCGCATCATCTCCGACTTTCACGGAGTCAACATCATGAACATGAAACGCGTCAGCTCATTAACAATAGAATCGGTGCAGTCTGATCACATTGGCGTCTTCACGTGCATCGCCCACAATTCAGCGGGAGAAGCCTCATCCTCTGCAGTTCTGCAGGTCAACGGTAAAATTCACTTGCAATTTCATCGCTTCAGTCGCCCCCCAAATCTCCCCATTCGCCTTCGAGGATTCCGTCTACTCCGGCGAAACCGTCTCCGTCCAGTGCATCATCTCCAAGGGCGACTCTCCCCTCAACTTCACCTGGACCCTAAACACGCGCATCATCTCAGACTTTCACGGTATAACGATCACGAACACGAAACGCATCAGCTCTCTGAGCATCGAATCCGTTCAGGCCGATCACAATGGATTGTTTGCGTGCATCTCCAGTAATTCCGCAGGTCAAACCACGTACTCTGCACAGCTCAATGTCAATGGTAAATTCTTAAAACACTTTTATTATTCATCTCCTCCATCAGTCGCTCCGCAAATCTCCCCATTCGCATTCGAGGATTCCGTCTACTCTGGCGAAACCGTTTCCGTTCAGTGCATCATCTCCAAAGGGGATTCCCCGTTAAATTTCACCTGGACTCTAAACTCGCGCATCATCTCTGACTTTCACGGAATCAACATCATGAACATGAAACGCGTCAGCGTTTTAACCATCGACTCAGTGCAAGCAGATCACAGAGGATTGTTCACGTGCATCTCCAGTAATTCTGCAGGTCAAACTACATACTCTGCACAACTCAATGTTAATGGTAAATTCTTAAATCATTTCATTATTCTTTTACTTTCTTGCCTCCGCAAGTCGCCCCGCAAATCGTCCCTTTCACCTTCGAGGATTCTGTCTATTCCGGTGAAACCGTCTCAGTCCAGTGCATCATCTCCACAGGGGATTCCCCATTGAATTTCACCTGGACATTGAATTCGCACATCATCTCTGATTTTCATGGAATCAACATCATGAACATGAAACGCGTCAGTTTCTTAACCATCGAATCCGTGCAAGCCGATCACAGAGGATTGTTCACGTGCATCTCTAGTAATTCTGCAGGTCAAACTACATACTCTGCACAACTCAATGTTAATGGTAAATTCTTAAATCATTTCATTTTTCTTTATCACCGTAAGTCGCCCCGCAAATCGTCCCTTTCACCTTCGAGGATTCCGTTTATTCCGGCGAAACCGTCTCAGTCCAATGCATCATCTCCAAAGGAGATTCCCCATTAAATTTCACGTGGACATTGAATTCACGTATCGTGTCCGACTTTCACGGAGTCAACATCATGAACATGAAACGTCTCAGCCTTTTAACCATCGAATCCGTCCAAGCCGATCACAGAGGATTGTTCACGTGCATCTCCAGTAATTCTGCCGGACAGAGTTCCCACTCTGCAGAGCTCAACGTGAACGGTGATAATTTCTTAAATCTTAGTTTCCCCTCAGTTCCTCCGCAAATATTCCCATTCACCTTCGGAGAAGAGTCCATCAATTCCGGTGAAACCGTGTCGATACAATGCACCGTCTCCAAAGGCGATTCCCCTCTGACCTTGACCTGGACTCTGAACGGCGAAAGCGTCGATGAGAAGAGCTTCGGCATCAGCGTTCTCAAGATGAAGAGATTCAGCACTCTGAATATAGACTCGGTTCAGGCGGAGCACAGTGGTGTTTACGCTTGTCTAGCAGTCAACGATGCCGGCGCTTCCACCTATTCCGCTCACCTCAACATCAACGGTACAATCATCAATTTTTATTTATCTCTTTCCTCCGCATTATCGACAGTTCCTCCACAAATCGTCCCCTTCGAATTCGGCGAGCAATCGTTCAATCAGGGCGACACTGCGTCCGTGCAATGCACCATCACCAAAGGCGACAATCCCTTGGAAATTAGATGGTTCATCAACGGCAAAACGATCGACAACTTTCGCGACGTTTACGTTAGCAAATTGGGAAAAAGGATCAGCAATTTGGGCATCGACATGGTCCACGAAGAGCACAACGGACTGTACACGTGCAGCGCCTCCAACGCAGCCGGTTCTGCGAATTACACGACTCTTCTTGCGGTCAACGGTATTAACTCATTGTACTCATTTCTATTGAAATTTTAATCATCCAGTTCCTCCGCAAATCCAACCCTTCGATTTCGGCGAAGAACCGGTGAATTCCGGCGACATGGTGATCGTCACCTGCGCCGTCACCAAAGGTGATTTCCCCATCAAAATCACTTGGCAGTTGGACGGTCGTCCGGCTGAAGACATCGAAGGTGTTTCGGTCGCAGCGACTAACAAAAGGGTTAGCCAATTGAGCATCGATTCCGTCGAGGATTTTCACAGAGGACAATTCGTTTGTCTCGCTGAAAATCCAGGCGGAAAAGTCGCTCACGTTGCAGACCTTTTAGTCAATGGTACTTTTTTCCAATCAACTCGAATCTTTGCATACTTGTTTTTTTGTTAATCATCCATTTATACCTACCATCCCTCTGTATAATTGTTGTTTCTAACGAGCGCAGTTTCCCCGCAAATCGTCCCCTTCAATTTCGGCGAAGAAACAGTCAATTCCGGAGAGCTGGTCTCTTTGACTTGCGCCATCGGCAAAGGGGATTCCCCCATCGAGTTCATCTGGTTACATAACAATAAGGTCATTGAAAACGAAGCGTTCGACGGTATCACTATCAACCAGATGAACAGGAAAATCAGCATGTTGAGTATCGATTCGACTCAAGCTCACCACATCGGAGAGTACACTTGCATGGCCAAGAACAAGGCGGGTTTCTCCAAATACTCGGCCTTCCTGAACGTGAACGGTATTTGCTTTTTACAGTTTAGTTAGTTATTGCACATCTTTTGTAACCTTGTCTTTACCCTTTGATGATGTTGTTTTCTTGGACGCCCTCCAGTTCCTCCCCAGATTAGTCACTTTGAATTTGACGAGGAATCTGTTAATGAAGGCGACGGTGTTTCAACTCAATGCAGTATAAGCAAAGGGGATTATTCTCTGGACATCGGTTGGCTCTTCAACGGTAACCCCATCGGTCCCAACGAAGGAATAACTCTGGTGAGGGCCTCGAAAAGGGTCAGCACTCTGAGCATCGATTTCGTGCACGCTAATCATGCCGGGAATTACACGTGCGTCGCCTCGAATCGCGCCTCCCAAGATTCTTATACGGCCCTTTTGACCGTCAACGGTACACACACAGTACTACATTTATTTAGTAATCTAGTTGTTAATATGAATTGTTCCGCAATTTCTCTTCTTGAAATCCTCTCTTTAATTCAGTTCCTCCGCAAATCGTCCCCTTCGAATTCGGCGAGCAATCGTTCAATCAGGGCGACACTGCTTCCGTGCAATGCACCATCACCAAAGGCGATAATCCCGTGACTATTAGTTGGTTCATCAACGGAAGAAATGCGGACGAATTTCGCGGCATCTACACTAGTAAAATCGGGAAGAGGATCAGCAGTCTGAGCATCGAATCGGTGCAGGCTGAGCACAACGGAATGTACACCTGCAGCGCTTCGAATCCTGCTGGTTCCGCAAACTTCACCACTCATTTAGCAGTCAACGGTACACAATTCTTTCAATTTACATTCTTTTTTTTTCCGTTACTTTCCCTTATAAATCTGTCCTGCAATTCTGAGATTCTTGCATCTCCGTAGCAATCTAGTT